AAAAGGTTTGTTGGCTCTGGAGTGAGTACCAAGGCCCCTGGGACAGAAGGAGGAGCCTGACTGGACCCTGGCGGTGCGGTGGAGCCCTCTGGCATCAGCAAAGGCTTTCTCACACTTGGGGGCCGGACTTTGTAAGGAACAGTGACCCTGGGCTGCCCACCTGCTGGCCCCTGCATGAGGAAGTGTGTGCCTTTCAGAATGGGTTGGCCTCAGAGATTCTCAATTCATTTGCTGATAAGATGACCGGGGCAGGGGGTTTTTGTCACACCTCAGTGTGGCTGTGTGTGGTGTGAATAGTAGAGACCCCTTCCTCCCAGACTCAGGAACCTCCTTCCTCCCTCCTCAAATGACTTCAGCCTTTGGGATTTTGAACTGTCTGTCACCTCCACCCACCCCCTCAGGGACAGGGTTTAGAAGAGGTTTGCACCACTTTGTACCTGCAGCCCGGAGACTCAGGGCGTTGAGGATAGTGGAGGCCACTGTCCAAGATGTGGCCGACTTTGGGTCTGGTCCCTGCCCTGTCACCTAATGTCAGTGTGGCTGTGGGCATTTCTTCCCCGCTACCCCCTTCTGTCATGCAGGCTGATCTGAGCCCATGCGATAAAGCAGGAACTGGCTTTGGACACTGCCTCATCTGGCGCCCAAGGCCCTGCCCTGTCCACTGCTTTTAAGCTAGATGCAAATGAAAACCAAGAACTCGTCAAGTGATGCCTTGCGTTTTGTGTACTTTCAGCCTTTATGCGATCCCTATTATTTATCTTATCTTTGTAGAAACCCTGTGGTAACAGAAATAAAAAATCCCTCCCCCCCGCCTTGCTGGTCAGGAGATTGAAGCCACCCCCCTCCCAGGGGCACAAAGCCTTGCCAAGCAAGGTTGGTGGGAGAGCTGAGGCTCCCCCAGCCTCCACCTCCCCTCAGGGCCATCCTGCCTCCTGTCACATGGGACACGAGGGGATGTCGCTTTGCAGAAGGTGTTCCTTTGGCAGGTGACCACCTTCCTAGCACTGAGGTCTCCACTCACCTGTTGCCTCTCAGAGCTGCCTTCCCACCATCCCACACACATGGGTCCCTGTTCCTTCGTCCTGGGTTTGGCTGCCTTTGTCCTAGTTCACATCCTCTGAAAAGTCCTGGCTTCTTAGTTCACCTTGTTTATGCAACGCTAGGTATCCTGAGAAGGGATGCAGCCCACAAAGCACAGCCCGGTCCCTGCCCTGGTGGCACATAGTTCATGTCAACAGCTTATGCCACCAGGAATGGGAACTGATCTGGGACATTCCAAAGTTGGGACCTGCCAGAGCCTATTATTACCAATACTAGATTCTTTTGATCTTCAGAATATTCTGCCTGGTTCTAAAGCACTTTCTAAAGTTGGCTTTTGAGCATGGGCTGTAGACCTGGCGGGAGAGAGACAGCTGGTGCTTTGTTGGCCTGATGTGTGAGTCCCTGGGCGTGGGCTTCTTCAGAAAGACAGTTTTAGGTGAATGGACCCATGCTGTGCCCTCCTTTTGGAGCTTGAATTTCACATCCACAGGGCTGGGGTCTCTAGAAGAGAGGGTGTAGTGTACGAATCTCTTCCCAGGCATCCCCAAAGATGTTTGCCACATTTTCCTGCAACTTCAGTGGAACTGAAGTTTCTGGGACAGTTTAGGAAATGTGTACTGAACCCAGTGTTGGCCTGGGGCCATGGAGCCTTGGGTTCACATCTCGGGCCACCCGGGGAGCAGGGGGGCTCTCACTGCCAGCCACTCACTGGGCTCCTGGGTGGGGACACGGACAGGACCCTGGGACCCCAGTCTCAGGATCTGCTGACATGGGGATGACAGAGGGCAGTAACATGCACCCCCACCACGTGCACTTGCCTCTAGTCGAGGCCCCTGGGCTCGAGACTTTGGCTTCCACCCTAAAAACAATGGGAGGCCCAGGAGGTTTGAACGGGAGCGAGAACTGGCCAGATTTCTAAAGGACCCTGTTGTGGCAGCCCGGGGTGTGGCCTGGGGTCGTGGATTCATGTTTCAGCTCAGCTGCTGAAGCCAAGTGCCACAGACTGGATGGCTGGTACACAACAGACATTGGTTTTTCACGATTCTGGAGGCTGAAAGCTTGGGGGTTGGGGTGGCCATGGTCAGATCCTGATGAGGGCCCCATTAGGAGTTGCTGATGGCAGCTTCTTGCTCTGTCCTCACAAGGTGGAAAGATCAGGAGAGCACTTTGGGGTGTCTGTCCTAAGGGCACCAGTCCCATTCATGAGGGTTCCATTCCTGACTTAACCCCGCCCAAGTGTGCCACCTCCTAATGCCATCTCCATGGGGTGAGGATCTTAACATTTGAACATTCAGTTCATTGCAATTCATACAGGCTTCTGAAGGCTATTTTCGTCGCTCAGCGTGGCAGGGTGTTGGTGGTTTCAGAATTGGAGGAGAGCAGACAGACCTGGGATGTGGTGGGCAGCATCAGCAGGACTTGGGGCAGTGGGATATGGGGAGAAGGGGGGAGAGGCTTCCACCTGCGTAGCTGGGATGGTGTCATTCTCTTAGATAGGGGACTGTGGAGCGGGACCCGGGCCTGGACCAAGGAGGACTGAGGGCTTGCTTTGGGCGTGTTGAGATGGAGCCACCTTTGGGCCATCCAAGGAGACCCCCCTATGAGGCGTTGAGAATACTGTCTTGGGGTCCCGAGACCTACGGTATCATTTGCATGGAGGTGGTCACTGAAGCCTGGGGTGGACATCTGTCTGGGACAGAGAGCGACGTGGATGCTTTCCTGTGGCTGAGGCATATGGCATCGGCATTCAGTGACCAGCGGCGGGGGTGGGGGGGCAAGGCTGCAGAGAGCTAGGAAGGAGCAGCTGGAGAGCAGGAAGTGAGAGTATAGGGCCAGCCAGGAAGAAGTGTCGCAGGACGGAGCAGTAGCGAAGGACACAGGCATTGTGAGCAAATTCCAAGTCCATGGGCAGTGGAGATAGCAGCCAGGCTGGGGTGGGCTGGGAAGGAGGGGCACAGTCAGGCCTTCTTTGCCTCCTTTGGTTGTGAGAGGGAAAGGAGAGGGGTCCACTGGAGGCAGGGAGGCAATGGTGGTTTGGGTTTTTTTTTTCAAGGGACGGGATCTTGCTTTGTTGCACAGGCTGGAATGCAGTTGAGTGATCATAGTTCACAGCAGCCTCGAACTCCTGGACTCAAGCGATCCTCTGACATCAGCCTCTCAATGCACTGGGATTACAGGCATAAGTCACCACACCTGGCCTAGTAAAGGGTTTTTTTGTTTTGTTTTGTTTTTAACCCACCCAGGAGACTGGAGAATATTTAAGAGCTGTGAGGAGGACCCAACTGATAGGACATAGGTGAGGGACGAGCGGTCCTAGAGGGAGAGAGGGCACACAGGTAATCCTCAGACCCCAGCTGGGGACCCCATTGCTGCCAGATAGCAGGAAGGAGAGACACAAGTGTGCTGGGGCACAAAAGGTGAAGCCCCCGACTGGTCCATCACCAAGCACAGGCGAGGGAGGGGCAGCCAGATATCTGGGGTGAGGTAGAGGCATGAAATAGCTCTTGCACAGAGGAAGAGGGTGAGCTTCCCAGAGAAGCATATGGCAGTTGCCCAGGAGCTTCCAGGGCATTTGGGGCCAGGAATTTACAATGAATGTGTCATGGCACCCATTTGCTCTCTGGGGAAGCTTCTTCTAGCCACAGGCCCAGAGAAAACAGGTTGGAGTTTTGCTGAATCTCAGGAGGGAGACAGATGGGGCTCGGAGGCAGGGGTGATTGAGATGGTGGGTGGTAGCATCCAAACTAGGCCAGTTGATGGTTTCAGCGATGGAGGGGCTCCGAGGTGAGCCCAGGGATCAGCTGGATAAGAGGGGGGAGAGGTCAGGAGGAGGTTGTGGGTGTGAAGGGCCTTGGAAGGTCACTGGGTGGCTCAGGTGGGGCCGGCTGGGCAGGAGGGGATCCTGGGAGCCAGGGCCCAGAATCCCGACAAGGAGGCTCAAGCCAGCAGGCGAGTGGTAGCAGGGGTGTGGGGACAAAGGCAAGCACTGGGGCCAGCGTGGGCCTGAAAGGACAGCTGAGCCATGGTCTGCACGAGCTCAACAGCTGGCTGGCTGCAGCCCCACCTGATTTTGTGTATAGCGTTTTACTGGTGCACAGTCATACCCACTCATTTCCACATTGTCTGTGGCTGCTTTTGCGCCTCAAGTACACCAGAGACTACAAAGCCTAAAACAATGACCACTGGCTCCTTACAGAAAAGGTTTGCCGACCCTAACTAGAGTCGTGCTGTCCGGTAGCCATGAATGCGTGGCTCTTTATATGTCAATTGATTAAAATTCAACACACACAAAAAATTCAGTCCCTCAGTTGCAGGAGCCACAGCTAAAGTGCTCAAAGCCACACGTGGCTCATGGCTCCCTATTTGACATCGCAGAGACAGAACATTCCACCATGACTGGAGGGAAGTTCTGCATGGCCTCCGTGGTCCAGAGGCAGCAGATGGCACGAGCATCGTTTCTGGGCCTGAGGTGTGGAGGGTGAGAGGGGCTACCAGGCAGCCTGAGAGACTGCAGGCTGGCAGGGGTCCTGCGGGACAGAGGTTGGGGGAGGGGTAGCCCAGGAATTATAGAGGGCACAGTTTCAGATCCTGAGTTCCAGGCCCTGTGGAAGGCATGGAAAGTGCTGTCCTGTTTTGGAAGCAGTGCCTTCTAGGCTTGCAGCAGGTGCCTGTCACCTTGAGTGACAGTCACCTGGGATCTCAGCCTTGTCCCCTGACACTATTTGCATGAAGTTTTGGGGCCCCAGGGTTGATTTTGTGCAGTTACTTTGCACCACACACCGCAGGGTGGCAAGGGAAGTAGACTTGCCTCCCCCACTGGCTACAGATTCGGGATGGCTCGGCCCTTCTCTTTTGCCCCTGCCCCAGCTGCCATGTGGCTCGTGCTGTGCCAGACATGCGCTCGAGCCCCCTGTTCAGGCCGTTTCTCCTCTAAGACGCTCACTCTGTGCCCCCTTCAGTTCCAGGGCCCTGTGAACCAGAAGACCTCATCGATGGGATCATCTTTGCTGCCAACTACCTGGGGTCTACCCAGCTGCTCTCGGAACGGAACCCTTCCAAGAACATTAGAATGATGCAGGCACAGGAGGCCGTCAGCCGGGTCAAGGTATAGGTGCTTCTGAGTCCCTCAGGGATGCCCACGCTCCTGGAGAACACTGCAACTGGGGATGGGATGTGTCCAGGTCTGACTTCACAGCCCTTGGCATGCAGAGCATGAGTGACTGAGGCACCTGACATGGCGAAGTTACCCAATGAGGCTGAGGGAGACATGTGCCTTGGCTGAGGAAGGCTGGGGCTGGGCACAGAGGCTCCCAGCTCCCAGCTCCTTAATGAGGAAAGGCACACGGACTCCCCCGGAAGCACAGTTTGTCTTGCTTTTTGGTCTCATTCTGTCGCTGAGACTGGAATGCGGTGGCATGATCACAGCTCACCACTGCCCCAACCTCCTGGGTTCACTTCCACTTCAGCATCCCAAGTAACTGGGTCTACAGGCACACACACATCCAGCTAATTTTTTTGATTTGTTGTTGTTGAAGTGTGGTCTCATTATGTTGTCCAGGCTGGTCTCGAGCTCCTGGGCTCAAGCAGTCCTTCACCTTGGCCTCCCAAAATGCTGGGATTAGAGGCATGAGCTACTGTGCCCAGCTGGGAAACACTATTTTAAAAAGATAATCACTCCAAAGCATTCTAATCCTAAGACAGTTTCAAATTTGGAGTTTCAAATCCCAGTTTAACAGCGTGTGTATTTTTAGCACCATTCAAAGTGCTTCCAGAAAGGGGGAAAAAATACATTATGTTCTGTGTAAATTCACTACCTTAAGAAAAATCTGACACACTTGCAGCTCCAGTGCACCTTGGATCATCTGGGTTTGAGTGGTAGGTGAGGCCAGGGGAGGGGACGGAAGGGCCACACCTGCCAAGCTAGATGGGGCAGCAGGCAGGGGATGCGATGCTGTGAGGTGGCCCGCCTTTGCCTGAGGCCGAGGGACACCTTTGGGGGTCAGGAGGAAGCAAAGCCACGAGGGTATTGCCTAGCCCTGCCAGCAGCGCCCTACGGCCTCCTGACTCAAGCCCTAGGCCCGCTGTGTGCCTAGACTCTCCTGTCTGCTGACGGCATCTCTCCTGTCCTCGTCATTCCCTCTGTACACAGGGTGGTCGGTGGCATTTCTAGCGCTCAAGGGGCACCTGGGTGGGCTTCTGTTGGCCAGTACGTGTGCTTGACGTGGCCGTGGTGTCCACCTGTCCCTGTGGGGGCTCCATCAGGCATCTGGCCTGAGTACCACGGCATTGACCACAAGACTGACATGACCTTGCTGCACCTCCCTTCACTCTGTGCCGACCTCTTTTTCTTTTCTCTTCCATGCTGCTCAGAGGATGCAAAAGGCTGCTAAGATCAAGAAAAAAGCGGTGTGTAGGACCCTGTGGCCCCGAAACAGCAGCGTTTCCTTGTGCTTCTTTGACTTGTCCTGGGTGGTGGGGAGGGAGGGTTCCATTGGAAATTCAAGTCATGTTGCAGAGCTGTATTTCCTGTCTCTCAGTCCCCCACAACCCCCACTCCCCCACTGCGGGAGGTGAATGTGAGATGTTTGTGAGTGAAACCACAGGTGCTTCATTTTTGTCAACTGCCTACTTACAGAGAAATGTAGTCATGGCTCGTTTTTATCCTCTGTGAATGTCTCTGGGTGTTGGAGCATGGCTCATGCCGTGGTGTAACTGTGTGACGTAAGCATTTTAAAATGTGGCATCTGAGAGGACAGTGTGATGAATCTAGAGCCTGTGCCCCCTGCGTAGTATTAATTAAACTATTTTGATTGTTAAATAGGTTTAATTTACTAAATCAGGACGACAACACTCTCAGAGTGCCCACGGGCTGCTTTCTCTATTGAAAAGAGTGTTTGAAGCACAAGTCAACTTTTAAAAATTGGGTTGACGTTTAGTTGTATGTTTATGAACCAAGTCGTTTAGTAAATGCTAGAGATTTTCTAACCAACCGTTGTCGTACAGAAAATATCAAAATACTCGGTGTCAACAGGCCCAGGGCAAGCCCATGGTGACTTGGTGCTGACTTGCTGCCTGCAGTTTCCTTCTGTTTAAACAGTAGGAGATTTAGTCCTACCCCTGCCCCCTGCCTGGAAGTAATGCCCTTTTCTGGCTGGGGGCTCCCTGCCCCCTGCAGTGAGACTTCCTTCTGCCTGTGACATTTGTGCTTTGCCCAGGGGCATCTGCTTTGATTCTTTCTCCACTGCAGGAATGGGAGACTGTCTTCCTCTGCCCATGCTGAGTGTTCCTCTGGGTGGCTCTGGGTGAAGCATAATGGGTCAGGCCTGGCATTGCAGACGTGCAGTTGGGGTGTGCTTTCCCCAAAGAAGGGATCTCTTGCCTGCAGCCTCCCAGTCCACCCCAGGGCTGCCCAGGCATGAGGACAACTAAAGCAGGCTGCTTCTGAGGCCTCCAGGCCCTGCAGTCCTGTAGAGTCACTGCCAGCCTCTGGAGGGCTCGGGAACAGGCGGATCCAGCTCGGAAAGGCCTCTGTGGCCAGCCAGAAGGCCACAGATTACATGGGACCAAGATGTCTTCCTTTTCTGGCAGTGGTCTGCTCAGCATCATTGCTGAGGGCACACTTTCTGGTCCATCCACATCCAAAGCCAAGGGTGGGGGGCACCTGGGACACGGGTGCGAGCTTTGTCCCCGGCTGCGCTGGTGACTATAGGGTCACAGTCCCCAGTCCACACCCACTGTGTCTTCTGGTGTCCCTCTGTAGGGTCTATACTGTTGACACCCTCCTTCCTCCGCCAAGGAGGATGATGGGAGACCTCTCCCCTCCCCTTCCCCGTTCTTGATTCCACCCCTTATCCCCACTTGAGTCTGGCCACTGCAGGCTCCACTCGCCTCGGATTGTGTGCATTTCAGCACTCACATTTGCTCCCCAATTATCACGAACCCAGTGTCCACCTGCAACTTCTCTGACTTACTTCTGGTTCAACCTTCTTTTTAGTAAGAGAGATTTGAGCTGCAATCCCAGAATATAACCTTAAAAGCAATTGATTTTGAATATAACCTGATTTTTAAAAACAGAAAAAGTTCCCCCATGGCCCTGCAGACTGTTTTTCGGCTGCATTGCTTGGGACTCTTCTCTTTCTAATTGGTTAAAAGAAATATCATCCTGTGGTAGGGGGAAAACCCAAAAGACCTTTTCCCTTGAAATCTGAGCTAAAATACACATTTATTATTATAATACAGGGTCTCTCTGTGACTCAGAGTTCTTAAGGAATTGTCAGCAGGGAGATTTTTTTATTTCAGATTTTCTAGAGAGTAATTAAATCACAGTTTTTGCTATTTTGAAATGGAAGATATACCTCCACGGGCTCCCTAGTGACCACAAAGAATTATTCACCTCCGTAGGTGGATAATAGAACCAATAGAACTTGTATTTCATCACCACTGTGCAGTGGTAATTAGGGTTCTCACTAGTGTAAAAACCAATTAAAGACTGTCCTGGTTTGAGGCAGACCCTGCATAGTTCACTCAGCTTCCAAAACAGCCCATGAAACATATCTCAGAACCATATGTGGGGCTTCCTACGGTGGAGGTGACAAACCAGGGTCATTTGTGTGGCAGCTTCTCCCGGCTTCTCTACATCACTGTGAGGACAGTGATCAGGCCAATCCTGGGCTCAATCCCGTTAGGGTTTTTGGAAGGCCAGGGCCAAGGCCGCTGATTGTGACTGTTTAAATCAGAAGGAAAGGCTGACATTTTAATTCCGCTTCTTTAATTTCCCCATTTCCTGGAGGTTCTTGGAATCCCAAATCCAGGAAGTATAGCCTGAGTGTACAGACCCTGTGCCTCCACTGAATTGGACAAGGATTGGCAGAGGGGCCCTGCTTGCCACTGAGGGAGGGGCCATGATACAAGACCCAGGCGTCTGGCTCCCCTTCCCGCTCAAGTTCCTGGCAGCAGGCCTTCCTGCCTCTCTCCCTGTGCCTCTTCCCACTGGCCCTGGGGACTCACAGTCTGCTGTGGGATGGTACGGGTGGTGTGCATTTAGACTTTGGATGGCGGCCCTATTCTAGAGTAGCATTTCCTTCTGCGTGGACTCAGGGTCATGAGTAGTACTGCCAGACCTTCCTTTGAGTTATTGCTTTTTATATTGATAGATAAAATTGTATGCATCTACTGTGTACAACATGATATTCTGAAGTGCATGGACACTGTGGAGTGACTAATCTAGTGAATTAATATGCTCCCCTCACACAGGTATCATTTTTTGTGATGAGAAGACTTTATGGTCACTCTCTTAGCATTTTTCAAGAATACAGTGTATTATTAGCCATGGTCATCATGTTACACAGTAGAGCTCTTGAACTTGTTCCTCCTAACTGGAATTTGGGTGCTTTGACCAACATCTCCAAGCCATCCCCGCCCCAGCCCCTGGTAACCTCCATTCTGCTCTCTGTTTCTTGGAGATCAACACTTTCAGATTCCACATAAGTGAGATCGTGCAGTGTCTGTCTTTCTGCACCTGGTGTAATTCTCTTAACATAATGCCCTCTAAGTTCTTCCATTTTGTTGCAAATGATGTGCTTTTTAAAGGCTGTATAGTATTCCATCGTGTACATAGACCACATTTTCTTTACTATTCATTCACTGATGGACACTTAGGTTGATTCCCTAATATGGCTATTGTGAATTGTGCCACAGCAAACACAGAGGTGCAGATATCTCTTTGATAACTGATTTCCTTTCCTTTGAATATATATTCAGAAGTGGGACTGCTGAATCCTATGTCAATTCTATTTTAATTTTTTGAGGAGCCTCCACACCCTTTTCCACAGTGGCCGTACTAATTTACTTTCCACCAACGGTGTACCAGGGTTTTCTTTTTTCTGCATCCTCACCAACACTTGCCATCTTTCGACTTCTGTGTAACGGCCATTCTGACTGGGATGAGGTGATATTTCACTGTGATTTTGATTTGCATTTCTCTGATGATGCGTGATGTTGAGCACTTTTCCATTTACCTATTGGCCATGTGTATGTCTTCTTTTGAGAAATGTCTATTTCGAGGTTTTTTTGTTTGGTTTGGTTTCTTTGTTTTTTGTTTTTGTAACAGTATCCACTGTCTTTTCTTAGAATTCTGAGGGAGACGCCCAAACTCTTACGGAAGTGGATCTTTTCATCTCCACCCAGAGGATCAAGGTTTTAAACGCGGACACACAGGTAAGCACGTAAAAGGCAGCCGTGTAAACTCACGTGAATGAGCGAGCTCCTGAGCTCACCCCGCATCCTGTTCCACAGTGGTGGTCCTGGTCTCAGCGGTGTTAGTGCTTTTATCTTTGCTATCTCCTCCACATGTGCACAAAGCCCCCATCCTTGGCTGCTGGGGGAGCAGGAAGAGTACAGCAGGTATTGGATGAGCTGATGTCAGTCACCCTTTAGGACTCAGTGGATGGGAAGCCCCCTGGGAGCCCTGATACCCTCTCCTGCCCACTCCTGGGAATCCTGACAGAGGAGGCAGCATCCCCCTATGTGGCTCATGCCATGGCCCACTCCTGGCCCCAACACCATGCCTGCCCACCCAGTGAGGCCCTCAGCACACCCTGACGTGGGCACTGTGGTTCCCCTTCCTCCTCCCATGTTTGTCCCATATGTACAGGCCTGCACCTTGTCCCACTGACCTTTGTGTTCACCCCCAACTGCCTCCACTTATAGCCTTAAATTTGATAAAGACTCAGGGAGACACGTGTCAGGGTCGGGCGTCCTGTGTGTGACACATCACAGACTTGGACTCTGTTTCCTGATCTTCTGTGGGTAAACTGTCTGACTAGCTCTCCCCTCTCCCTCTTCTAGTCCCCTCCCTCATCACCCACCTGTATTGGGGATCCCCAAGACTACCCTAGGTTCGATGATTTGCTTGGAGGACTCACAGGACTTAGGATGCTCACGGCAAAAACTTATTACAGCAAAAGGCTACGAGCAAAATCAGCAAAGGGAAGGGTGTGGGAGGCAGAGTCCGGGGGCCATAAGGCCCAAGCTCAAGGCCCAAGCTTCTGGAGTCCTCTCCCTGTAGAGTCACACTGGATGCTAGGGTCCCCCAGCAGGAGTTGTGACAACACAGATGAAGACTCAGCTCTCAAGGTCTTTACAGCGGGGAGGGACTGGTCACACAGGCGCCCCCTGCCTGGCAGGTACCAAAATTCCAGACCTCTAGAAAGAAAGCAGGTGTCCAGGCTAGACCACAAATAGCTTAGGCGGAATGAACCATGCTTGTCAGTTGGGGTGGTGGGAACCCTCCTGAAACCCATTCCCAGATACCAGCTGAGGGCCAAGCTTGCCCACGGGTCTTTCCCGGGATAGCCAGGGGGTCCTGGGTGGGAGTGGGGGTGCAGGTATCTGGCCTAGGGGTTGGCCGAACTGTGCCAGATCAAGTGGGGGGGAATGTGGGGGAGGGGGGGCTTAAGGAGGAACCAGAGTCTGTCATGCAGAGGGCACTGGTAACATCCAGACTACCTGGACGAGGCCCTTGTCAGGCTGCATCTTGCCTGCATGCCTTGTGTGCAGAGTGGCCTTGCAGGAGCAAGGCCAGTCGCTGTGGTCCATTGTTCACCACCTGGGGGGGGAGGTGCAGAAAAGCCATCGTGACTGCTCCCTTTCCAGTGTCCCTCCCTGGAAGGTTACTCCTGTGGTTAGGAAATGCCTTCATGCCTTTGGCCAGAAAACAAATCAGCCTCAGAGACAAATGTGGAGCGGTATCTGCGCAAAATGGATTCTGTGAGGAAGAAAAAAGCCCTGGAGGTTGCCAGACACCCGATTTTCCCTTGTGAGAGGAGGACAGAGGCACAAAAGACCAAATGATTAGTTTTTCAGAGCCTTGTGTGCAGCCTTGTTAGGCAGGGGTCGTAGGGAAGATGCTCGCGGAGATTCCTATCAGACGATAAAAGCTGCTGGGAGTAACAGGCCTGCTGGGGGCTAAGGGAATTGAAGTTGGCTACGGAGCCCCACTGATCAGAGTCAGGCCGCCTCGGTGTCTCCTGACCCAGGCTGGGCTGCCTGGGCTCCCTGGGAAGAGCTGGCTGAGGGAGAAACATAGGCCTTGACTCTCTCTTCTCGGCAGGAGGCTGGGCCAGGCCACTGCTGGGCCCCAGGGAACACACAGCCCGCAGGGAGGGGCCCTTCCCCAGAGCCACGATGACCTCTCAGGGAGGAGATGGCTCCACCCTGTCATCAGCTCCCTGCTGATGTTCAGGGGGCCCAACAGGAACACCATACCTCCCTAGTGCCAGCAGAGTCCATTTGGGAAGCTAGGGCTGAGGCAAGGGTGGTCACGCTGGCTGTGAGTCATCGCCTCAAAGCACTCTGTTAATTGGAGCCATGGTTCTCAATGGAGGTGACTTTGCCCCACTGAGGGATATTAGGCAATGGCTGGCATTATTTTGGTTGTCACACCTGGGGGGAGGGGGTGCTACTGGCATCTTACGGGTAGAGGTCAGGGATGCCCCTGACATCCTCAGGCACCCAGGATAGCCCTCCTCCATAAGGAACGATCAGCCCTAAATGTCAGTGGTGTCCAGGTTGTGACACCCTGACCTGGAGTGTTTGCTAATGGCTTGCCCCCGAAACACTCACTGTTGTGGGCCTCTCTCCCTCTCCCGACAGGAAACCATGATGGACCACGCCCTGCGCACCATCTCCTACATAGCCGACATCGGCAACATCGTGGTGCTAATGGCCAGGCGCCGCATGCCAAGGTCGGCCTCCCAGGACTGCATCGAGACCACGCCCGGAGCCCAGGAGGGGAAGAAGCAGTATAAGATGATCTGCCATGTGTTCGAGTCGGAGGATGTAAGTGAGCCCACGGCATGGCTCTCCTCCCATGTCCACAGCCCAGGCACATCGGAAGCCACTGTCAGGTGAAAATCTTCCGGCCGTGGTTAGAATTTCCAATGGAATCAGTGATTTTTCTCATGTCCCTTGAGTTTGCAAAGACAGTGAACACTTTTATTTCACATCATGAAACAGGTTCTTCAGGAGCTGTTTATAAATCGAGCCATCGTTAAATATACTGAGGGAGCTATCTATTTGAAGAAATCCTTTTATAAACATTTTCCCCTTAACATAATCTTCACATAGCTTTTTTGATATTAAAATGCACATTTTTGAATGCCGGGGTGCCTAAAAGCACACATACCTGTCCCCGAGGCTCAGCTCTGCCTTTACCGGCAGCATGTCATTTATATTAAGCTAAGAGATACTTCTGGAGTTTAAAATGCCAAAGACCCACTAAGAGATCATAAACCCTTTGACTACTCCCTTGAACAGGATAAGAGCATCTTTAGGAACCTAGATGTGACTCTTGTCTGTCATTGTAGCACTTTGGGAGGCCAAAGTGGGAGGATCACTTGAGCCAAGGTGTTTGAGACCAGCCTGGGCAACATAGCAAGACCCCATCTCTAAAAAAAAAAAACAAAAACCAAAAAACATTAGCTAGGCTCAGTGGTCCAGGCTGAGGTGAGAGGATGGCTTGAGCCCAGGAGTTTGAGGCTGCAGTGAGTTATAAGTGTGTCACTGCACTCCAGCCTGGGCAAAAGAGCGAGAGCCTATCTAAAAAAAAATATTACATGTATGTAGATATAAAACACAGAGTGGGGGATTGTGGAAGGAGCAGCAGGGGCCTAGATGGGAGAAGACCTGACCTCTGCAGGCTGATTTTACTTAGGGACCACCAAGGAGGCTACTGTCTGGCCAGTCTTGTTGTCAACAGGGTAAAATTTTAAAAAATTATCTATCCTCCATGGACAGTTGACCAGGGCATTCTTGTTCACATAAGGACGTGAGGATGTCTCAGGGACCCGGATAGCAGGGAAGAGTCCCTATATTTTCATGGTGATTGAAATACAGCATAGACACTGTGTTTGAAGGCAGAGTTTGAACCTGTGGGTGGGGTAGGCACCTTCTTTCTGAGAAACTGGCATCAACTGGAATGCTTTGGCGCCAAGGCAGATGTATAGGGGAAGACATTTAAATGATACACACACATTCTTTCCACCATCATACAGAGTGGAAGGCTGGGCAGGCATTTCTGGGTGTCTGAAAACTGAGGATGTCTTAGAGACCTGGTGGGGGTGGGCTGCAGTGCTGGGGGGTATAGGGCCAGGAGCAGACCCTGTGAAGGAGGGTGGACAGTCAGCTGGTGGGAAAGTCTCCAAGGAGTGGGAAGACCTCCTGGGCACCAGCTGATAGGGGTGATTGTGGGCAGAATGCTAAAGTCAGGGGTGTTGCTGCTGCCCTAATGTTCTCAACTTAGTGGGAGATAAGACTGAGAGCAAAGTGGGGGATGAATGGGGCTCCCAGTGGTGCTTGAAGAAGTCAGGCCAGGATCTGCCCAAGGGAGTCTAAGGTGCCCCTGAGCAGCTGCCCAGAGAAGAGCTCCCAGATGGAGGCTCCGTCCAGGTGGGCTGTGGGGTGAGTCCTAAGAATCTGCTGGTCTGCTGAGATCAGAGTTGAGCACCCAGGGAACACAGAAGGCCCCTTACTGTTGTCGGTGGCCTGCTCTGAGTCTCTACTTCCCCTGGAAAGTGGAGCTTAGCTGCGAGGGACTGAGGCAGGGGTAGAAGAGGCCACGGGGTGAAAGTGCTGAAATGGCAATGTCCCCTTCCCTGTCTTCTCCAGCGCTCACAGCCCTCCTACAGGAGGTGGATGTCCAGCCAGCCCACACTGAGGGCCCCAGCGGCACCTGCCCCGTGGCTGGGGCCTAGGCAGGGCTTCTGACCTCACAGCAGTGAATACCCACAGGCCAGGCTGTGAGCTGGGGCAGGCAGGAGGACCCCTTCTCTGAAGAGGCCAGCCACAGAGAGAGCCCCCTGAGCCACCCCCAGGCCTGGAAGGAGGACTAGGGAAGGAGAGATGGGGAAATGGGAGACAGCGACTGGCTGCGAGACACCAGCGGTTCCTGAACGGTCCCCAAAGGAGGCGCATATCCCCACAGTGCCCAGCTCCCTAGGGCTTCTCCCTGGGAGCTTCCATGGGGGCAGATGATATAGGCTGAGGGGAGGGACAGTCAGGGGTGGAGCCAGGAGAACTCAAGGTGGAGTCCAAGGGAGGTGGGTGGTCCAAGCCTGGCTTACAGCCTGATGATGAAGGCATCCAGTGCTCCCAGACCACCCTTCCCAGCCAGGTGACATCCTAGTTGGGGCCGAGCAGGTCCCTGCTTTCCCGTTGCCCAAGCCCCCTGCTTGACCCCCACCCCCCTTGGGCTGGCACTGCCACTGGTCGGCTCCCGACTGAGCCCCCACCCACACTGAAGGTGCCGGCTCCATGTATGTCCAGGCCAGTGGCTCCTCCTGGTCCTGGTGGTACCCAGGCACCGTGCCTCCAGCCAGATCCATCCCCCACCAATATGCTAGGCATGGGAAAGGACAAGAACATGGACTCCTCCTGCCTACAAACTGTTTAGGGCCGTTTGGGAGGGCAGTCCATCCAGTTTAAGGAGAGACCTCCATGCTCTCGCCTCCAATGGGGCCCAGCCTGCTTTGCCACATGCACGTTCATGTGTAGCACTTCTTGCCTGCTGTGTGTAGCCTGAGAAAGATGTGGAGGCCAAGGCTGCTTTCACCTGACTTGGGATCCTGTGATGCGGGGTTTGCAGGGGTTGCCTGTGCAGAACCCCCTTGGTGGCAGCTGGGGAGCAGGGGTGAGCAGAGCGGGGCTCCAGTGTGCGTCTGCCCGGTGGTCAGCCTGCATGGCAAGGTTTGTGAGCTTGGGTGTGCAGCTCTCACCTCCCACCATCTCTGCACACCACTGGGCAGTGGGCGAAGTCCCAGTGCTTCAGAGTCCAGGCCTCTGCAGCATCAGGGTCAGTGACATCCTCTGAAGTGGTTCAGTTGAAGTAGAAAGAAGCGATGTGCTCCATGGTGCCCACAGGGCATCCCAGGCCTCACATCTCGTGGGCCCAGCTGGGCGTAGCGGCACCTCCCTATGAGAGAGACTGGGCACACCTGCCTCCAGCCAGCACTGGGTTCTTTGCCAAGGAGAAACAAACATAGGGTAGACAACTAGCAGTGTGTGTGACGCTCCCAGGAAAGCACGCCTGAAGTCTGGTTCTGAAATGGTATGGCCAGAAAGAAAATACAGTCTAGTCACCAATGAAAGCAACAAGATATGTGCAAATAATTCACTACTTTTCCAGACATTATTTGTCACTGTGCTTTGACCTGGAACATCTGGGACCTACAGCAGCCTGTAGAGGCAGAGGCAGGGAGGACCGAGCCCTGGTGGGTCCAAGGCAGCAGAGGTGTTCATCCATGGCGGCCCACGTGGGTGTTGGTAGGAGACAGCTTTCACCAGAAGGGGAGGGCCCCATCTCCCTCCTGTTCTTTTAAGCCTGAGCAAGGGCCCCCTTAAGGGCTTATGGGCACAACCTGCTCCCAGTCCTGCCACGCCCCCACCTGTGGGCTTTGGGGAGCCCATGCTGCCCCCTGTGCCCAGCGGGCCTGCCCTCCCCACAGGCCCAGCTCATCGCCCAGTCCATCGGCCAGGCCTTCAGCGTGGCCTACCAGGAGTTCCTGCGGGCCAATGGCATCAACCCCGAAGACCTGAGCCAGAAGGAGTACAGTGACATTATCAACACCCAGGAGATGTACAACGACGACCTCATCCACTTCTCAAACTCAGAGAACTGCAAGGAGGTAAGCCCGGCCACCACAGCTGTGGGAGGCCACAGTCGGCCAGCTTTGCTCCCCTGCTGAGCTCGTGTGGGTGAACCTTCCCAGGGCCCTCCTGAGAGCCTTCCAGAGGCCACCTCAGGCTCCTGCAGGCAAGCCTTCCCTGGGCTTCTGCCAGCTTTCGAGAGTCCTGGGTACACCACTGTCTTCCCCCCCGATGTGGAGTCGGGGGACCATAACATGCATCTCCCTCCTGCCTTCCACCTGAGCACTTGGGTATGAAATGAGGTATTTGTAACAAAGAAGCTGATTATAATCCGCTTTACTGACCTTGAAAATGTGCTGTTTAATGCTGCTGTTGCCATCAGCCAGCACTTAGCACCCAGGAGATAGTTCTGGAAAGCATGTGGCATCTTTCAAATAGGATGCCTGGGCGCTCTGGCAGGGGAGCTGGAAGCTGCCAGCAGCAGAGGCCTCAGCAGGTCCCAGCTGCTGCCCTTAGGGGTCCTTGGAAAGTTCTGCTAGGATAGGAGCAAATACCCTGGGGTTGGCCTATACTTCATGTGTCAAATAACTAAATGACTCTGTCTGCCATGAATAAGTGAATGAATCATCCTGGCTGCTCATTGAATGCGTGAATGAATGAATGATCCTGGTTTTTTGTTGAATGCCTGGCGGTCAGTTTTCTGAGACAGTGACCCTTGAATGAAATAAAAATAGGACTTTTCCAGACGAGAGCCAAGGCCGGGGCCGGGTGTGGACACTGGAGTCTAGGAACATTCCTCTGGCCTCCATGGGTTTGGCGGCAGGTGGGGGGAGCGGGAACCAGGACACTGACGTGCGCTTGAGCTGGGAGATTCCATGCTGGGCATGGGAGGGGATGGACTCTCTGCTTCCAGGCTTTCAGGATTGCTGGGTAGGCCCCAGGAAGGCTTGGGAGCCAGAGTGGGATGAGGTCGGGGGCAGGTGGGCAGCGCTGTCAGTCCAAGAGCTCTTGTGGCCAAGACGAACCGCCCCCAGATCCTAGGGCAGAGCAGGACACAGCGGGCCAAGGTGGGCCTCATTCTCCATAGGTGCTTAGCAGGGCCCCAGCCTTTTCCCCCCACTGCGGGCCCCCCTCTCACCTTCTACCCCATTGCAGCTGCAGCTGGAGAAGCACAAGGGTGAGATCCTGGGCGTGGTGGTCGTGGAGTCGGGCTGGGGCTCCATCCTGCCCACGGTGATCCTGGCCAACATGATGAACGGCGGCCCGGCCGCCCGCTCGGGAAAACTGAGCATCGGGGACCAGATCATGTCCATCAACGGCACCAGCTTGGTGGGGCTGCCCCTTGCCACCTGCCAGGGCATCATCAAGGTGGGCGTCCCAGGGCCCTCTGCCTGTGGTCACCCCAGCCCTGCCTCCCTTTGTCCTCCCTCTGCTGTAATCCCCACTTGATCCACCAGGAAACTGAGGCCCAGAGAGACCCACTCAGTGACCGATTGGTGACACAGTCAAAATGTAAACCCAAGACTATACCCCATGGCTGCACTCAGAGGAGGACCCGGGCTGCCCCAGGGTGGGGAGTGGGGTTCTTGTCTTGGCCCAGTGCTGAGGCATGTTGGCTCCAGGCAAGGGGCCCGAAGACAGTCTGTGGAGGTGACCAACTGGTCCTGTTTTGCCCAGGACTTACCCAGGTTAGCTCTGAAAGTCTAAATTCTTGGACATGGAAGGTTGGTCACCCTGCACGGACCAAGTGCTGGGACACAGGTTTCCATAAGTAACAGAGGTCACCCTGACTGCCTGACTGTGAGCTGGCAGCTTTGGGAGGTGCTTGCCTGCTGTCTCTGGAGGGGTCCCAAGCAGGCAGGGGTGAGGCCTTGTCACCTGACCCCCAAGAGGAGTCGGCTCTGCCCGTTGATGGCAGCTCCTGTGACCTGTCTGTGGTCTGGACCCCAGCCCTCGGTGGCTGGTTTGCTCCCCGCCCTGCTGGGGTCTTGGTGCTGGAGGAAGGGCCTCTCTACTCCCTGAGAGATGAAGGGTACTCTCCAGACCAGAGCCTGCCACGAGCCAGCTCCAGGATGACAGACCATCTGCCCAATGGGCAACCCCAGAGCTGGCCACGAGGGAGGCTCCATGGGCTGCACCCGAGGGCTTATTGGGCCCGAACCTCCCTCCCTGACTGGCTCTGTGTACGAGGGATGGCCCCCATCTCCAGGCAGCACCTGCCAGGGGAACATGCTGGTGACCAGCCATGTTGTGGCCTCCTCACCTCACTGAAACCAGAACTGTGGCCTGAGGTGCTCACTGACTTTTGGGCCACCCTTGTTTCCAGCCTGCCCATGAGGGGCATTAGGGCCTCCTGTGTCTGGGGTGTTCAGTTTTGAGGTGTCCCCGTGCCCTTCCATAGGAAGTCATCCTGCATTCAGCATGATGGCAGCCCCTCCCAGGAGCCCTGAGGATGACCCGTGGGCTGGGTGTGTTGGTTCTGCTCAGCGGGGCTGAGAGTCTGGCCTGGTTTTCATGTGGGTACCCAGGTTATGGTGGGCCACAGGCCACACTGCTACCCTCACCATCAGGGCTAGGGTGAGGCTTGTTCTCCTTGCCCAGAGGGGACGTGGAGGCCAAGGGGACTGCCCGTCTCACCCAGGGCATGTTCCCGCAACCGCTGGGCTCTGCCCTGCCAGCCACTGACCCTGGCCAGGCCTTCGAGACCTGCTCGCAGGTGATGCCTGAGGTGCCATTTGTGACTCCTGTCCCTACTCCACAGGGACTGAAGAACCAGACACAGGTGAAGCTCAACATCGTCAGCTGTCCCCCGGTCACCACTGTCCTCATCAAGCGGCCGGACCTCAAGTACCAGCTGGGCTTCAGTGTGCAGAATGGAATTGTGAGTCATCCTGCATTCAGCATGATGGCAGCCCCTCCCGGGCTCCTGCCCCCCTCCTGCCCGGGCCACCTCTACTGTGCGCAGGGCCTGGGGACCGGGAGCAGCTCCCGTCTGGGAGGACAGTCTGTGCCCAGAACCCTGGAAGGACCTGGCTTGTAGGCGCAGCTGCCAGCAGCTAGGCTGTCCCAGGCAGGAGCTTTCATTGTTTCCCTAGACGAATGCTAGAAAGGGAGGGTCTGGGTGTGGCCGTGGATTGGGTCCCCCCAGCCCTGTCAGGTACCCTTGTCCCATGATGGCTGTCTTTGGTTTGAAAGGTGGGCAGCAGTCTTTGCCAGCCTCTGTAGCTTGGACATACACAGCTAGTCGTGACATCAGACTCACTGTGGTCAACAAACACATGTTCATTCATTTGTTCATTCATTCACTTGATCATTCAGTAGACATTTGTGAAGTACCTGCCTGGTGTCAGGCTCTGTGCTAGGCGTTCAGGAGGCAGGAGGGCTGCCTGGAAGATGGTGATGCTGGACTTGAGTGAGTGCTGATCTTGCCAAAAAATCTGTGCCGTCCCCCAGACCACAGTGCTTCAGTCCAGATCCCCCCTCTCTCTTTGTGTTTGGCTGGCCTGAGTTCTGTTTCCTTTGTTTTTCCTCCTGCAAAGGTTCCAGAGGGCAGCGACACGGCCACAAAGTGGAGTGCAGAAGAAAAGGGCTAGTAATTCCCAAATTGCTTATATTATCCCTGAGCATTAAAGAGCCTGGGGGGGGAACTGTGGGCTGGGTGGGAGTGCTGTGGAGGTGAGAGAGGAGGGTGTGTGTGCTCACCCAAAACCACAGAGGAAAGACAATGGGAGAACATTCTAGAACATTCTAGAAAGACAGCTACAAATGAGACAATTTTCGCCATTGTTGTCTGAGGAAGCAGTGTGGCGGGGTACGCAGAGCCCGAGAAGGGTCACAGGGCTTGGGCACAAGGCCCATTTTTGTCCCTTCTGTGGCAGGGCAAATTCGCTGCTCTAGCACATATTTCCCAAATGTCCATATCCTGAGAGCTTATTTCTCATTCACGCTGCAGTCTAACTGGGGGGAGGGGGAGGGGACCGCTTCACAAGGCCACTCAAGGACCCAGGCTCTGTCCTCAGCCGAGTTCTGGAGTCCCCACTGGGTGCCTCGTGTCTGGCCAGCATGAGAGGAAGATGCAGACAGCTTAGGACCTGGTTAAGGGTTTTGGGGTCAGGTTCAGAAGCAGCTCTTGTCATTTCTGCCCACAGTCTACTGGCCAGACAGCTCCGTGATACACACCACACCACCTGGGGTCACTGAGGAGGGTGGGCCAGCTGGTGCCCAGGACCAAGAGGGACGGGGCATCCAACCAATGTTGGCCATACTCTCCTGGCTGTGTGACTCTGGGCAGGTCATTTAACCTCACTGGCTGGCTATGAAGGTCAACGGAGAAAATCCAAGCTATCTAAGGAGGGCCCACTGGTTTCAGACTCTGCCAGGGAGGAAGGCCCCATGGCCCCAGGACCCAGGTGCAGGTGCTAGACGTGTCTGCATCCCACAAGGGACTTCTGTTTGGGGCAGTGCGTCCGCCCAGAGCTGGCTGCTGGGTGGTCTGCCTAGCCCTGCCCTGCCGGTTGTTCTGCACACACAACTGGGCACATGTCGCCACCCCCACTAATGTAGGGGCTCTGCAGAAAATCCGCCAATCCCATGGCTGCTCCATGCCGTGTGGCCAAACATGGGCCGACCCAGGGAGAAAGGCTGATGCTCTGTTAGTCTGCTCCCCTGCCCAAGGAGGACTATTGAAGAAACCTGGGCACAGAGAGTTTGGGAATTTGACCCAGGTTGTACAGCCATGAAAGGCAGGGGGGAGACGAGGAAGGGGAGGGTTGTGGGGGCTAAATGAAGGAGAGTGGGGAAGGAAATTAAGCCTTCCTTCTCAGAGACCAGGGGAGTGTGGGGGGGTGGGGGGACAGCCCAGGGAGCAGGCAGGGTGACGGTGACCAGAGTTCTCTCCCAGCTGCCCCAGGGGAAGGCACAGGAGGGTCTGGATCAGCTCCCCAAAGATGGGGGCCAGGTAAGTGTGAGTGGCCAGGAGGCTGAGGGCAGTGAGGGGGTCAGGGAACTTCTTGGAAGATTGGGAGGTGCAGGGTTCAGGGTAGCGGCAGATCTGGGCTTTGTGGGGCCTGAGCTGGGGGAAAGAATGCACAATTCTGATGGCAAAATCGTGAGGACTGCCCCTCCCAGGTGAGAGAGATGCAGGAGAGAGGGGTCCTGAGGCTGACCCATCACTTCTTTGTGCTGGGTCCAGGGTCTGAGTTCCAGGGTGATGATAAGGATCCAGCCAGGTGTGTCTGTGAAACTTGGGGTGGCCTGGGGCAACCGCTGTGGACCAGAAGAGTCCGCAGACCACAGCCCTGCCCACTAGCAGCTGTCATTTCACCCTCTGGCCTCAGCCTCCCTGTCTGTGAAATGGGGTCACTCCTCCTTGAACCCCCAGGCTGGGGACTGTAAAGCGCAGGGTGGCAGCTGAGAGGCAGGGTGGGCAGTGACTCTTGGGTATTCTCTCAGGCACATGGCAGCTCACCCTGAGAGTGCAAGGAGGGTTTAGATGAAGTAAATGAACCCACATGATTTTGTCCTTATGATTCATCTCCCTGTGACCCAGAAAATGGCCTGCAGACGCTATATGAATCAGTCACAGCCTCTGCCTGGCTCTTCAGCCTGGCAGTGACCACTGGAGCCTTCAGGTTACCAGGCACTGCCCCTGAGGGTGCCCTTGCCTTGACAGGTGTTGTGGGTAGAGACTGGCCTACCAGGCTCGACCTTTGGGCACCTGGAGATGCGAGCTGCCGCAGCACTGCCACCGACATCAGGCACCTGCAATGCCCCTGCAGGGTTTGCCCCCTGCCCCAGGCCATGCCCTGTTACCTGGGCTGATTAGCACCAGGGGCTCCAACACTCATCTGGGACCTCTATGGAGGAAAGAGTTTGGGAGGACATTTGGGAGTCCTGAGGGTGCTACACACTCCCTTCAGTGCAAGTCCCTCATCCCTCACAGCGCTCGGAATGGGACCACCGGTCCGAGGGCCCTGGCCTCAGCTTTCAGTTCTCCCAATCTTGCCAGAGGGGCCTGACCTGGTACCTTCAGGCCCCTGCTCTCCCCTGGCCCTGCAGTAATGGGCTCTTCCCCGAGTGTCACCTCTCCTGCACCTCCCTGTTCCCACCTCATGCCCAGCAAAGCTCTCACGAGTCTCCTCCCACCCTTGCCAGACCCCAGCCTAAAGTCCTGGCTCCAGTTGGCTGAGGCAGCCACAGGGTAACTTGTGTCCTGAGAGCCAACCAGGCAGTGATTGGGGAATACCCTCCATCTCCGCAGTGCCTGACCACGTGGTGACCACCGGTAGGGAGGTAGAGGGTGACTAGCTAGGAAGTGGCATTTGTCAGCTCTTGTGCAGACCCACTGCAGTTTCCTGATTAGCACGGAAGCACTTCCTGGGGCTGGTGGCAGCATTTCGTGTTCAGAGTGAGCAGTCAGATGTAATATGTCCGAACGCGGGCGCCGTCTATGTAAATCTGGGTGCTGGAGTGTAAGAGGGGCAGGAGGGGCCCTTTGCACGATTGTCTGTGTGCGTGCATGTGTACAAGTGTGTGTGTGTGCTTGGGACAGGTGCACCCGTGCCCTCCAGCCAACTGGGCACTAACCTCATCCCAGGCCTCAGGGCGGCCTGTCCTTTCTCCAGAGCAAGAGGGCCTGGTATGACTGAGAGGCCGTATTATGTGTGGATGGAGTCTGCCTCCTCCCGCCCTCTTTTCCTTTTAGCCCTAACTCTGAGGACATCTCTTTTTCTTGTTCTTTTTCTTTTTTAAAAAGATCTGTGGTAAGACATACATAACATGAAACACATCATCTTAACCATTTGCAAGTGTACAGTTTGGTGGTGGTAAGTACATTTGTCTTGTCGTGCAACCATTGCGTCCATCCATCTCCAGAACTTTTCGTCTTCCCAATCCGAAACTCTGCACCCATTAAACACCAACTACCCGTTCTTCCCTCCCCAGGCCCAGGCAGCCACCCTTCCACTTTGTGTCTCTATGACTTTGCCTACTCCCAGTGGAGTCGCACAAGATTTGTACTTTTGTGGGGGGCTTATTTCACTCAGCGTGGTGTCCTCAAGGTCCATCCATGCTGTAGCTTGTGTCAGAATCTCCTTCCTTTTTCGGGTTGAATACTATCCCCTTGAATGTACAGACCACATTTTATTTATTCACTCACCCATTGGACACCTGGGTTGCCCCCACCCCTTAGCTGTTGTGAATCTGCCGCTATGAACAGGGGTGTGAGGGCATCCGTCTAGTTTCATTGTCACAGGTGCCCCCAGACCCTTCAGTCTGAGGTCAGCCAGAGAAACCCGGAAATGAAACCCCCTTCCCACCACGGGCAAGTCCTTCCCACAGACCTGGGGAGTCCTGGGGGCAGCCAGCATCTGGGAGGGTGGTCCAGTAAGGAGTGGATTATCTGTCACCATTTCACAGATGAAGACTGAGGAACAGAGAGGTGAAGTAACGTCTGAGTCTCCCAGCTGGGAAGAGCCAGGATGGGCCTGAGGCTGGTTGGGAGAGGGACACACCCACTTCCCCTCCCCAGATGCTTTGCCCAGAGCCAGGGTGTCAGTGGGAGAGTAGGCCTGTGGATGTGAGGGCATTTGTGACTGCAGAGGCTAAAATGTTTTCTCAAGTCCAGGACCTCAGTAGCCCATTAGCTGGAGTGCACATAGGCAGTAGCTATTGGTTATGGCTCTGGCAGTGAGGCCATGGCTGGGCAGCCCAGCCCATCTCTCCTGTGTGCCTGCAGGAAGTGCCATGCCCACTCACAACCGTGCACCGAGTCTCCTCATGTGAGGAGGAGTTGGCCACATCTGAGCCGGTTTTGCATAAGCACCTTTTCCATTTTCAGCTTCATTACACCCAAAGTACCATGCATTCATTGACAGACAGGCCCTGAGTGACCCAATTAATACTCTTTCCAAATGGATCCTGCAATACCTTCCCACAATACCTTTCAAGAAATCCAGACGCTTCCAGCTTGGAGACACCAGTCTTCCTCCAAGAAGTGCACACCATGCAGTCGGAAGACACCCCAGTCCCAATTATTTGAGAAGTGCCTCTGCTTAGAAGACCACCATCCAGTGCACATGACCCCCTCAGCACCTTCTGCATCCCTACCCTGCTCCCTCTGCCAGCCCGCCTCCAGATTCCCAGGGTCCAAGTTCATCCTCCCAGCAGGCCTTTCTCTCCCAGAAGGCACAAACCCATTTCACCCCCTCTTACTATCTCCTTTTCGGCCTCTTTTTTCAAATCTCCAAGTCTAGGGACACAACGGCCACCAGGAATTAGTCAAAATAGCACTTTCTAAGGGGTGTCGTAGCTTCTGGCCAGCCTTCCTGAAGCACCTTCTTATGGACCTTTGAGGAATATGTCATGTGTGACACAAAATGCCCTAAGTCCCTTGGGGAGGAAAGAATGAAAGTGAGTCCTCACTGCCTGTGTAGACTCTCTGGGAAGGCAGGCAAGCAGAGCCTTCATTTCACAGAGCAGGTGCTTCGCCTTTCGGGATAATGGTGACCACAGGGACAGGCTGCTTCTGTGTCTCCGCCCACCCCTGGCTGAGCCTCTGTCTGGTCTGAGTGCCGCAGGAGTCCAGGTGGCCAGACGGCAGTGACCTTGGGCTGAAACATTGGTCTGTACCTGTGTCTCCAGCCTGACCAGAAAGGGAGGGACCCTGGCTGGGCTCGGTGGCTCAACCTGTAATCCCAGCACTTTGGGAGGCTGAGGCAAGTGAATTGCTTGAGCCCGTGAGTTCGAGACCAGCCTGGGCAACTTGGTGAGACCTTGTCTCTACAATAAAATAAAAAAATTAGCCAGGTGTATTAGCACACGCCTGTAGTTCTGGCTACTTGGAAGGCTGAGGCAGAAGGATCACCTGAGCCCAGCAGGTCGATGCTGGGGTGGCTGTGAGTGTGCCACTGCACTTCAGCCTGGGTGATGGAGTGAGACTCCCACTCAAAAAAAAAGAAAGAGAGGGCCCCTGAGTACTGGGAGAGATAAGCTATAAGCACCACGCAGGGACCCCCACACATGTGGTCAGTTTGAGAAGGCCTGTGGGGTTTGTGGCAAGGCAAAACATAAAAAATTAATGACAGACAGGAGCCCTGTGGGTGGCTGCTGGGGCTGACCTGTGGGGGGTGCTGGACTTTGAAGCCTGTCTCAGCCTTAAGAGTTGCCACGCCAGGTGTGGCGAAAGTGCTCAGGGGACTGGGTGGCACCATCCTGCCTGACGGTGGGGTTGCCCTTAGTAGGTCCTGGGCAGTCAGAGCCCCTGCTGAAGGGGCAGGCTGGACAGGGGTCGGGTGAGGAGTGTCCATGGCCTGTGCTCTGACCCCAGGATGACCTCCCCCAAACAAAGCCCTGGCCTCCTTCTCCAAGGCAAGGGGGCCCAAGAAGAGCTTCCATAAGGTAGAACCTTTCCAGAGGATGACCAGAACAGCCACGTAGGGCAAGGGGCCTCCCTGCTGGGGATCTCCACCAGCCACACCTGTGTCACCTATGGCAGGCGACCCTTGACCTCTTAGAGCACTGACCAGAATCACCCTTCCTGACCCTGGGCCGGGCTCCCTGCCTTTCCAAATATGAGGGTCCCTGAAAAGTCATGAGAACGATGGTGAGATGACAGCTGTGCTGGCAGTGTTTTCCAGTTGTGGAAACCCTAAGGACCAAAGACCACTGTCATTGATTGAGGCTTTTGGATGACACTGTGTGGGCTGCTGGGCACCCCAGGTCAGGGTCACGCCAGCTGAGCCTCTCCTGCCTGGCTGTGAGCCTCTCCAGCTTCCTCATCCTCAAACCCTGATGCAGACCAGCCCTAGGAGTGCCAAGGCAGGGCTGGGAAGGGCTGGGAACTGTTCCCTACTGCCCCGTGGATGGAAGGGGCTTTCAGGGGCCGGGGGATGGGGCACAGGGCAGACTGGAGAGACCTCCAGGTGTGGATGTGGCTGTTTTCAGAGGCCTCAGTTGCAACCAAGGAGGTTGCTACAGGCCACATGGCTCTGTTGCTGGATTGATAACACTCCCTGCTCTTGGAAGCAGCCAGTGGGGGAGGGAAGCCTGGCACCCTTTCTGCTCCCTCCACCTACAGCATCTCCAGTTGGGGCTGAGTAAACAGGAAGCCCTGGGATTTCCTCTCCTCCTACTGTGGTATCTTCCTTTCCATGCCTTTCACAGGTGCTGTAGGAACCTGGGAAGCTTCCCGGGAGTCCCTCAGAGCCATTGGGTGAACCCCAGCCCTCACCTTCCAGGGGCTGCTCCCCTCTCCCTGGTGTCTGCATGAACATTCATGCTTCCAATGCCTTGAGTTTTAGATGATTTCGAAAGCAGGTGGAAACAAACCTGGGGGCATCACTGTCACTTTCCAACACTCTCTCCGTTTGTCAGCTCATGAGATAGATCATCCCCTCACTCCTTCCCCTGAGGTGGGGTGAGCGGCTGGCAGAAAATCATCTAGAATGTGCTAACTGCACATCACCTGTCCTCCCCCCTCCTCACCAGCAGCACAGGCTCTGGCAGGCTTCAGGGGCCAGACTCCACCATGGGGTGTTCTGACGGCCTGGATGGTTCCCCACACACCACAGCATTGACTCTCACTGCACATGGAAGTGTTCATCACATGGGCTTTCTCTCTGCATGTCCTATCTTGGGGTTGTGGTGGAGTGCCTTTCAGGGATGGAACGACCGTGTACACTGAACTGACTGTGTCTGTTTAGATCTGCAGCCTCATGAGAGGGGGCATCGCTGAGCGAGGGGGTGTCCGTGTCGGCCACCGCATCATTGAGATCAACGGGCAGAGCGTGGTGGCCACAGCCCATGAGAAGATAGTCCAAGCTCTGTCCAACTCAGTCGGAGAGGTGAGACCATGCCATCCCTCCTGTGCTGCCCTTCCGTCTTCCTGAAGCCAGAACCCAGGTCTAGGGGCCTCTGGCCTGTGCTCTTCTCATGACCGGCTATCCACTCACACTCAGTGGATGTGGTGGGGGAGCCCAATGTGAATGGGGTACAGATTTCTGGGCAATGTGATGCTTTGTCATACCCATGGGTGGTATGTGATGTCCTCAGGAAAGATAGTGGTCCCCACCCTTAGCAGAGCCTGTCCTGCCAGAACCTTGGGCATGCCTCTGCCAGTTTCTGTGTGCTCCCATCTCGCTCTCCTGAGCCTTCCCAGCTCCAAGAAGCTGGCCAGGCTGCATCTCCCACTCGGGGGGTGCCCATGCGGGTGAGCAGGTGGCACAGGGCTGTCCCGCTCGGTTCTGAGCAGCCAGGAGGGCACAGGCAGCTGTGGGGAGCTCCCTGTACACAGGTCCTGGGACTGGACCCTGAACCCCAGTTTGGGAGCCCCGCCCTCTGTAGGACCAGCCTGCAGGGCACGAGGCTCTGACTGCCACAGGAGGCTTGCCCCCAGCCCCTGCAGGCCATCCCACCCGCAGACCGAGCTGCTTGACCCTGTCCTGCTTCTCCAGCTTTTAGGCTCCCTGTCACCCCCATCCTAGTGCTCTCTGGTGTCTCTGGATGGGGGTACGGAGCTCACGAGGAAGCAGGAAGATGCAGGGTGAGGACAGCGCAGGGGGTGGCAGCTCAGTTTGGGGGAAGGAGACCTAGCCCAGGTGGAGTGGGTACTGGGTTGTGTGAGGGTGTGAGTGTAGGGGGGGTGTGTGTGAGCATGTGTGGGTATGTGCATGTGGGTGTGTGAGTACATTTATCTGTAAGTGTATGTTGTGTGTGTGAAAGTGTGAATGTGCATGGTGTGTGTGTGTGTGTGTGTGTGTGTGTGGGCTGTGAGTGTGGGTCTGTTTGGGCAAGGGTATTAGTGTGTGAATATGGGTTGTGTGACTGTGAGCATAGGTTTGGAGGTGCGTGCACGTGTGTGTGTGTGTGTGTGTAAGTGGATGTGTGGGGGAGGTCAGTGTGAGTGAACGGGGTGTGGATTTCTGGAAAGTGTGGTGACCATACCAAGAGGGAGGCCGAGACAGCTGAGGAGACAGCTGCACAGGCAGGTGCCAGGTGGGGAACTGGATCTGAATCCGGGGCCACAGCAGGCTGGGCATGTGGAGGAGCCCTGCTGGTGGCCACATGCGGCCCAGGGCCTGGGTTTTGGCCTCGCAGCTATAGGGTAGGCAGGCTCTGTCGTGGCAGTGGGTGGTACTGTTTCCTGAGGGACTCCAGGCCCTGGCCCGTAAATCACGCTTCCTGGGCCATGTGGGGACACCCAGTATTTGTGGACTCCCAGGGCCAGTGGGACGCCTGTGCTCCCCTGGACCTGAGTGGCAGGTGGCTGGCTCTCAGGAAGAAGGGGACCAGGGAGCACCACTAGCCTCCTTTTACAGATGGCTTCAAAGAAAGGAAAAGCCAATTTTCCTAAGTAGGTGCTTTGAAACGGCTGCCTCCATGTCACAGTGAGCATCACACCCACAAAGAAATCCATGGGAGGAGAGGCAGGCTGGGAGCATGAGAAATGCTTTTGCATCGCCAGGCTTGTGATAAGAGGCAGGAAGGCAGGCCTCGTGTCAGCATCCCTCGAGCCGAGCCTGGAGGTGAAGGTGTCATCCCTGGGCACATTTGGAAAACTAGTCGCTGGTAAACAAGGCTGGATGTTTGAAGGAGCCTTTAGGGTGGGTTTCACATTGAGGAATTAGAGAATGAGTCCTCTAATGGAGACAGCTGTGGTGTGAGAGAGGCACTAGAATCTGAACAGACCAAGCAGACCCTGGTGGGGTGGGGGGTGGGCGTGGGGATCTGCAGAGTCGACCTAGCCAAGTTGGGCAGACCAGGGCCTGGGACTTCTTGCCTAAGGAAGGGCAGACCCAGAAGCCAGCAGCACCTGTGGCAGTAGGTACCGCAGACCCCGAGACCTGAGCACAGCACAGTCCTGGGCTGGAGAGGGCAGGAGCAGAGAGCTTAGAGGAGCCTTGGGAGGCCGAGCCCACCTTCCCTTTGCCTTCGTTCTTCCTGTGCCCTCAAAGCAGAGGAGTGGGGTGAGTGGCCCACACAGGTGGTCTCCCTGGGGAGCAGTCTTGTCTGCCAACCCCTTTGGAGCCAGAGAGTGATGCTAAGCCAGGAGGGTCATTTGCTAGCCGATCCCAAAGAATGGCGGCCCTGAGGCACCCTGCCCCCGTGAGCCGGTGTCCAGCCTCCAGAGCACATGTTCTCAGCGGCTCCGGTTTCTTTGGGGAGGGATGGGTGTATGTTCTCTGCTTTGGGTCTCCTCCTCACTGAAGCAAAGCGCACCCCCTGCAGTTTCTGTGGAGGCCTGGGCGCTCCCAGCCTGTTCCAGTAAGGGGCAAACTGTCGTCACCATTAAAATTCCAGTTTCTCCCCCCAGTTCCCCATGTCAGCTGGACTGAAAGCAAGGCTAGCACTCGACCATGCAAAGGACCCTCTAAAGCCTGGGTGGGGACCCCAAGCCCCAGTCTGCAGCTTCTTGGAAGGTGTCCTGAATCACTGTGGGCCTGGGCAGACCTCCTTCCTTCACTCTCAAAGACTGGCATTTTAAAGAGCAACTTCTCGGGGGTTGGCATCTTGTTGACTTTCACTAAACTGCATGGGAGTCTGCATGGGAGGTGGGAGCGAGGGCAGCTGCTCAGCCTTCTCTCTCTGTTGGCAGATTCACATGAAGACCATGCCTGCCGCCATGTTCAGGCTCCTCACGGGTCAGGAGACCCCGCTGTACATCTAGGCCCTCCGGCCTGACTGCGCAGCCAGGACGCCAGCAGGCCCACTGGGCCCCACGGAGCCGCAGCCGGGCTGTGGACCTGATCCTGACCCACCGCCCAGCAAGGACACTGGCTCCCCGAAGGGCGTGCCCTCACCACCACTTTTTTTTTTTTTTAGCCAAAAAGGAGTATGTCTTTATCAAAGGAGAGTCACGGAACAAATCTTTGTAAAACAGTCAAGTATCTTGCCACGTCCTGAACTGTTTCTTCACTGCGACTGACCAGGGTGTTTCTTGGTAGCTGTGTGTGGTGTGGAGTGTGTCTCTCCTCCCTGACACTGCAGGGAGCAAACCCGTGTGCCTGTGACACGGCCTGAGGGAGGTCCCCAAGGGGCGGGCTCCTGGGCGGTGCAGTGGCCGCCCCCCTCTTGCCCCCTCAGCTGGGACGTCTGGGGTCTTGCACACCACGGGCAGCCTCTCCCACTGCCTCTGCAGGAACATGGGTGGCCCAGCTCCCGGGACGTGACCTGTCTTAAAAGTGTGGACATGTGATTGATGGTAAATAAAGAATGATGGCCACAATATCAAAACTCCACATTCCTTCAGATAATAGTACCATTTGGACTTTTATTTTGGCAAGCTGTTTTTCACACTTTAGGGTTTTCCCATGAAGACCTGAGACCACACCTGCTTCTCTGGTCTCACCTGGGTGCCCTCCCCTCGCGGCTGCATCTCCAGGCAGGGCTCTGGCGAGTGGGACCAGGCTCGCTGTCCCGCCAGGGACAAGGAGAGCACGGGCGTCTGCCCCCTACTTAAAATCCATCTGTACACACACAGCCACACACATGACCCCCTGGAGAAACAGAACCCACACCAGAAAACTCGACCTCTGCCCTCCCCGAGGTCACTGGCTGTGGGCGCAGGTCACCGCGGCCACGGCCCTGAGCAGTATTAGCGTGTGTGCAGATGAAGTCAGATAGAGTCTAGCTCCGTCCATTAGAGATCCAATGTTAACTGACGTCATTTTGTCTGGAAGTCTTTTTTTGGCCCAGGCCTTGAAGAATACACTGTGACTTAAGAAGCCTTACTGCGCAGTAACTAAAGCTTTAGGATTACTGTATTCGAGGAGTGACCATGTGTTGCATGCAGCTGACCTTAGGAAGACTTCGCGCATATCACTAATAAACCTGAAGTCGTGATGAAGCGCTGTCGTGTGGCTGGTCTGTTCACCAAGCAGCGGGTGCCTGGCCTCTTGAATCCAGGCATCAAACGCGGCACTGTGAGTCTGCCGGATGCTGGCTGCAGCCGCTACTCAGCGTCCCTCTGGGGCTTGGGGGCTTGGGAGATGTCGCTGACCAGGTCGGAATGGAGGGCGGGTACTCCGGTCACCAGGTGTCAGGTGGGCAGTGCCCTGCAGCAGCTGGAGTGCCAGCGGCGAGGACAGGTCACCACCCATTCTGGTCCTCCTCCACCAGCTCCAGGGAGTAGACTCGGCACAGAATACTGACTTCTTGAACATGGGAGAGATGGAGCCTGGGGATTCTCTAGATTTAAAATTAAACTCCCTCCGGGAGAGGCACTTGTGCAGTGTGTGTGCGCATGTGACAGGAAGTTACACCTGTCTGCACCTGTGGGCCCTTTGCATCCTGTCTAGAATCACAGGACTCTGGCAGCTCTTCTGGGACTTAGCTTTCTCCGTGGTCACCTGGCATGGGGAGGCCAAGGGATAAATGTGGGCTTTGGTCAGAGACGAGGCCATGTTACCCTGGGGGCCTTGGACAAGCAGGACTCCCTCTCTGACCCGTCACAGCAGTGTGGGCTCCTCGCCTTGAGCTGCTGACCAGGCACCTTTAGGGCCCGGGATTCTGGGGGAGCTGCCGAGTGAGGAAACTCATTACTCTCCTGGCCACAGAGGACGTACACTAAGAGCTCACTCCAATGCAACCTTGGCCATCAGGGTCATGTAAGAAACAGTCTTTCAAAGAGAACTCGAGCTCCGTGCCTCTCTTTTCCCGGAACATATACATGGTAGATGCAAAGAAAAATGTTCAGTAGGAAACTTTGTTATAAACAGTGGCACAGAGGCTGGGCGTGGTGGTTCACGCCTGCAATCCCAGCACTTTGGGATGCCGCGGTGAGATGATCACTTGAGCCCAGGAGTTTGAGACCAGCCTGGGCAACACAGCAAGAGCCCTCATCTCTACAGAAAAATGAAAGAAGTAGCTAGGTGTGGTGGCACATGCCTGTAGTCCCAGCTACGTGAGAGGCTGAGGCGGAAGGATCACCTGAGCCCAGGAGGTTGAGGCTATGGGGAACCATGATTGTGCCACTGTACTCCAGCCTGGGCAACAGAGACCTTGACTCAAACAACAACAACAACAACAAAAGAATAGCATAGAGGCCTTCTCTCTCTCCCTCTTTCTCTGAATATTAAATGTATGAAAGAGTTGAAAGCAAAATCAAATTCAACAAGAAACAATGCTGTCCACATCCTTGGGGAATAAAAAGAAACGTCACCTGCAGCAAAGCTGGAGGGAATGGCCTCTTCTCGAGAAACCAAGGGGGACATTCTGGGAGTGCCCAAGACAAGGCAGGGGAGTGGGCTCCAGAGGATGTCTGTGGTTAGCAGATGACACAGGGACAGGAGGACTGCCCCCCAATGATCCACGTTTTAAAAAACCCACATGAGCCACCGGCCTGCCTTCCTCCCAGGCCCCTGCCTTCCCCCTCTCACAACCAGGGTGCAGGATGGGGGTTAGCGTCTCCCGAAGACCTTGGGAAGGACAGCAGGATGCCCGTGGACCTCACACACCCCTGTCCCCACGGGAGCCCTCGCCCAGGGCCCTGCTCCTGGCCTACAGCGCACACAGACTCTGAGCTTGTCTTGATCCCAGTTAGACCTCAGAGACACAGAGGCCAGAAATACTTTTTATTAAAACACTGATCATTATTAAAACACCTTGAGGTACATTAAATAAATACAACCTTTCCAGTTGTACAAACAGGTCTCCGGTGGCTTGAAAACAACTTCCTAGCAATTCTGCCTTAGCAGCATCTGTGAGTCAGGGCAGGTGAGGGAAAGCACAGCCGCCTGAAATGAGCTTTCTGGCCGTGGTTTGTTACCAACATTTAATTTGGATGGGCGTCTCCAGCTAAAGGGGGCTGAACCTTCTTGCGCACGATGCCTGCCCCGTCGTTGGCCACAGTTGGGGTCCAGAGTCAGCCCACCTCAGCAGCCTCACAGCCCCCAGGTAGGGTCAAATGGCAGTGTCCTCACAGGTGCCAGCCTTCTTCAGGTCTCAGGAGAGGGCAGGGAGGGGCCCAGGCTGAGCTGGAGAAGGAAAGAGTCACCTTCAAGGCAGCCATAAGCAGGCCTGTTTCAGACACCAAAGCAGGGAGCATAAGCAAAGGCACCCACAAGCCAGGCTGTGAGCCCACACACAGCATGGGGCCCGGGGCACTGGCTGCTGGAGTTACTGGCTCCCAGATGACGCCAAACCGGGGTCAAGAATACCAAAAGCTGGCAAGTCAAGTTGTCAGCACATTCCCCGGCGGCCCTAACCAGCATCTCTCTTCGGGGCAACTTCCCTGGAAGCCCAGAGCCTGGTGGGGGCCTCCTGGAGCCCACAGGTGTCCCCAAGCAAGTGGGCTGAGGAGGGCACCCCACTCCCTCCCCTGACAACCTTGTTTCTAGGAGACAGAAGGTTGCAGCCCAGCAGCATAAAGTTGGGTGCAGTTTCCTTATTCACAAAATAGAATTGCTGCATGAGCAAACACAGCTGAGTGGGAGTGGGGTGTGAGGGGGCAGAGCCCCATGTCGGTCTGCACCCGGGGCAAGGCACCACCCTGGCAGCAGACCGGACCACAGAGGAGGAGGAAAGGGTGTCGAGTCCCAGGCCGGGTGGTCTCGTTGCCCCCTTGCCCTGGCTGCACCATGAAAATACCCCGGGGTGGGGGTGGTCTGGGCCTCACTGGAACTGCAGCCAGGCTGAGGACTGCGGCGCCAGTTCACCCAGGGAGGCTGCTATGTGATCCCCCAAACGGCGAAACCCCTGCAGCTGACGGCTCCAGCTCACACCTCAGAGACAGTGAAGATTTGGAGGCTGGAGTGGGGGCATCAAAGCTTTGCACATGGGCTCGGGGGAGGTCATTCTGGAAATCTATCCATTAACTTCACCCGCAGAGGGACTTGCTTTTGGGGACTTCAAAAGCCCTCATGAAAAAAATGAGAGAAGGAATTTCCTGTTTTATCATCTGAATAAAGTGCTCATAAATTCATCTCTAGTATATCTTTTGTGGAAGAGTTAAGGTTGTCATCGAAAGGCCTGATTTGTAATTTTCCAGCCCTCTAACCTCCGGGAGGCAACAACCAATAACATTAGTAAAGCAATCAAAACCTTCACAGCTGATCACAGCTAGGGGATTCCTGCAACTCAGCTCCTGGGAAGGGGTACAACTGGAGGAAGGCTCTGGGCCCCTGGGCTCGACCCCTCCCCCAACACCCTGCTCCCAGCTTCCAGCCACAGGAAGTTCCCCCAGCATGTTGGCAACAGTGGGGTTGGGGCGGGGGTGGAGCTTAAGGACAGGCTAGAACCCACAGAGCTGAGGGGAGAGCAGCATGAGTCCCCCCACCTCAGTGGTGGGCAACCTCTGGTCTCCCGGAACACCCCATGCCAGGTCTACGGGGTCTCTGGTGAGACCTGCGGGTCTCAGGCCACCAGCCACAGTGCAGGAGCTCAGCAGCTGTGCTAGCGGCTGCAGCTCCAGATGGCCCCCCACAGGTGTTCCGTGGCCACAAAAGGTTCTTATGGCTAGTGCTTGCTCCATGGCCACGCTGAGAAGCAGCTGCTGCTGGTGTTGCCAGGAAAATGAGGGGCGGGCGGGGGGCAAGAAAGTCAGCAGCTTCAGAGCTCAGCCAACCCAGGGCGCTTTCACCGGATGGCTGCAGTCTGCACCCTCTGATGCAGAGTCAGCGGCCACCTGGCTGCAGGACGGACTGCTCTAACAGGAGGCACACAGCCCTCAGAGACACAGGTCTCTTCCTTCAGACCTGCACCCACAGAGGCCAGTCAGGTGAGGTCAGGCACAAGGGAAACCCCCAGAGATGCTCAGAAGAGATGCGTGTTGTCATGGCCCAAACAACAACTAAAATGCACCTGCTCCAGGTAAAGGACAGGATGGAGAAAGAGAGCCGGTGGGGGGGCGGGGGGAGAGGGAAGTGCCCTTTGGAGGGTGACTGGGGGATGGGACCCCCCCCAAGCCTCCCACAACGCTGGCCTGCCTCCCGGGTGGCCCAGCTGCTGCAGTCCCTCACTGTGTGCACAACGGCCCTATGGCCCTGCAGGCCAAGAGCTGGGCCCGGGCTGCCACCTGTGCTCAAATCATCTATTTCCTTTTCAAGGAAGTGGGTCACAATGTGATGAAGGCCTGATCATCCAGTCATTCAAACCACACAGGAAAATGGCTGGATGTCATCCTCCATCACTGAACAAAAACCCTAACTTGGGCAGAGGAGAGAATCCTGCTTTTGCTGGTCCTGATTTTTAAATGAGTGTCACCTGTCGCTGAATTCATATTTGTGTAACGCTGCTCAGTTCAAAGTGCTACATGCCAGATGACACCAAAGAGTTCACTACAAACACGAGAGGCTCATCATTCTGAATTACTGGACTAGGTGGGCGATGTAATCCCCAAGGAAATGACTGGTGGAGTCACCTCAAGAGAAGGGATAACAGTCCAGTCTCCTGCCTGAGTCACCCCAAGCTCTCCTGGGTTTCCCTGTGTTTGTCCTCCGCCAAGCCGTGGCAGAAGGCCTCTCTATCAGGCATGGTGGCTTCCAGCAAGAACATCTGTGGTGCCAGGCCCGTGGTATCCACATCTAGACCTTTGGCCCCTTCACACCTGATCCGCCATGCCGGCCCCGACAGCTTCTTCCCCGGGATGCTCCTCAGAGGTGACTGCTGAGCAGAGGGCACCCACCACAGGCCGCACCTCGGGAGGGAGCGCACAGTGCGAGTGTTCCAGAAACTTAGCCACCAAGACCTTGGCGTCTTCATAGGCCTTGCTGTCCACTAAAGAGTGTGGCCGCTCTTTGGAGACTGCGGGGAAGGGCTCTGGCATCGGCTGGCAGCCAGTTTTCCAGGTGTCAGTGTTCTCGGGCGGTGACCGCTGGGCCCGACAGGCAGAGCGAGACGCGGAAACTAAAAATCAAGGGAAAGATGCAATTTGGACTCATCGGAAACACAACCAAACAAAAGGCAGCTGCTAAATATGTTCTTTGAAAAGCATGCTTGGGACAAGTCCTCTGCTGGGTTTTCTGTGTTCTGGGCTAGAGCTCTGGGTGTGTCCTGCTTCCACTTTGCCTTGCATCCCCTCTTGGCCCCGAGATCCTGAGAAGCCGACGGCACCCTTGAGGGGCTGCAGCCTCCTGGAGCTGAAGGACTGGAGAAGGGCTGGGCAGGGCAGGGCCCGCCTTCCTCAGCCTCCGCTGGAATCCCCGAGGGAACAAGAGTCCCTCCTTCTCAGTCTTCCCAGCTCAGTGACCCGTGTCCTGTGGGTCTGAGCTCTTTCTGGGGCAGAACTGTGGCATCTAGAGATGGAGTCTGCTTTAAGACCAGACCCGGGGGTGGCAGAGGGCACATGATCCCTTCCACCACACAGCTGTGATGGCAGCTGCCACCCAGGGCCCTGCCCCACTGACTGCCAGGCCAGGGGCTGGGGACGTGGCTCCAGCTTCCCAGAGGCCGACAGCCACTGTGCATGACCCACAGAACACACGCTGGTCTGAGGGCCCCTCCAAGAAATCCAGCTCTGGGCAGTCAACTGCGATCCGCTCACCAAGGACCCACTGAAGACCCAACTTGCCCAACTCAGGTTTCAAGTCACATGAAGTAAACACACTCTGGGTGGTCTGTTCTGGGGTCATTGAGGAAGCCAGCACTTAAACATGAGAATCTAAGAAACTCCTATGTGGAGGGCCCATCTACTCCCCCAGATAAAATCTCATAATGTGAGTGAGCAGCCACAGGTAAATTAGCTACAGTCTCTGACATAAGTATGCCGAGAGGGAGGGGAGGGAGAGGCCGTTTCAAAGCCCAGAGTTGGAGATCCCCATTTCTGGGTCACCTGTGAGGGGCTGTGTTTAGAAACAATGCAGCCCAGGTCCTGCTAGTCACCCCTGCCCACTTCACAGCAGGTGTAGTCCAGGTGCTTTAGAAAAGGAACGTCTCACCAGTCCCCAGTGTGGCCTGAGACAGAAGGTCCTGGCTGCACGGGGTGGGGGGGGGCAGGGAGGGGAGGGTGTGTGTGTGTGTGTGTGTGTGTGTGTGTGTGTGAAGAGGCACCACCTTAGCCAAAAAGAGAATTTGGTGAGCACAGGAGAGGGAAAAAGGAATCACTGATAAAACTGAAATGACCCACTTGCAGCTGAGACACATGTTTTAGACGCCAGCCAAGCAAAAGAAATGCTGAACTGAAGTGAACCCGCCGCTTCAGACAAGCCCAGTGCTCTTCATCGGATACCCTCCCACACCCGAGGTGCTCCAGGGATCCGGGAGAGCATGTGCCTTCAGCATGGGGATTGACAATAGTTGCATCTATACCAGAGGAGACAGAGGCAACAGGTGGACCAGGGAGTGTTTAGGTGCAAAAGGAAATCAGGACCACCTCCTCCCTTCACCTTGTGTCATGGTTCACAGAGCACGAATTTCATGGAGAGGGCATAGGCCAGAAAAAGCCATCAGGGGCACAGAGTGGTCTAGCGGAGGGCAGAGCACAGTGGCTCACGCCTATAATCCCAGCACTTTGGGAGGCCGAGATGGGCAGGTTGTGTAAGCCCCAGAGTTCAAGATCTGCCTGGGCAACATAGTGAACCCTCATCCATATGGAAAAATGAAAAACATTAGCCAGGCATGGTGGCACATGCCTACGGAAGGGATCACATTCCCTCTGCCACCTTCAGCTCTGGTCTTAAGGCAGACTCCATCTCTAGATGCCACAATTCTGCCCCAGAAGGAGATCAGACCCACAGGACACGGGTCACTGAGCTGGGAAAACTGAGAAAGATGGGCTCCTGTTCCCTCGGGGATTCCACGCCTATAATCCCAGCTACTTGGAAGGATTGCCTGAATCCAGGAAGTCAAGGCTGCCATGAGCCCTGATTGTTGTGATCATGCCACTGCACTCCAATCTGGGCGACAGAGTGAGATCCCAACTCACTCACTCACTCACTCAATAAACACACAAACAAACAAAATAAACTAGCAGAGGTGTGTGTTCTCACAAGATTCCAATGGAATTTTCTCCATGCGAGCCAGCAACTGGATGTTGAAAGGGAATACACGGTGAGCCAGGAAGAGCACAGCCAGGGAGGTGACAGGTGCAAACCCGGATGCTACTGTACCCGGCAACTGGCTCCTGTGGGCCCTGGTTCCTCCCGGGGGTTCCATTCTTCCTGCCCAGCCAGGCTCTCATCTGTTTGTGGTTTGGCTGGACAAGGCCACTGAGGCAACACTAGTCCAGGCACCCACAGGTCCCTCCTCAGGGTCTTTTCACATCCACTTTACAGAAAAGTCCCCACTGGGATGGCATCGCAGTCCAGGCCCCACCCAGACTTCATTGGCAGAATCTGTGTGCCCCTCAGAAGACAGCAACAAGGACAGGGCGTGCACTCTCCAGCCTCAGGTATACAAGACTCCTGGGGGAGCTGGTGTGAAATGCACATTCCTGAGCTGCTGGCCACAGGGATCTGGTGCCAGTTCCCACAACCCAGGGGCTTCCCACTCACGCCATTACTCAGGGAGACTCGGGGAGACTCGATGCAAGCTCCAGGCCACACGCAGAACACGGCCAAGGGTGCCGTGGGTGCTGCTGAATACGCGCCCGTGTTGGCCATGGGCAGCTCCAGCTGGAGGACACCCCACCTCCCCAGAGTTATCCCTAGGGGCCACCTGTTCTGTGCCTGAGCCCGAGCCCTGCCTGAGACCTGGAGCAGGTATGAAGCACTCACAGCTGACGTCCAGGGCTGGCGGGGCAGTGCAGTGGGCTCCCATCATCCTAAACCCTGGAGTCTTCCTTCCCCCATCTGAGTGACAGCCTGTGGGTACAGAGGGACCCAAAGGCCGCTCACCACCCACCCCCGGCTCAGGATCCTCAGACAGCAGGACCGCATTCCCGGTGTGGGCCTGCACTGGGTTCCCGGGGCCAAGCCTCAACCCTCAGGCATCACCGAGACCTGAAGATTTCAGGACAAGCCAGCCTCTCCCTGGGACTCAGGCCAGCTGTACCTGCCGTGCTGGATGCACACGAGGTGGGGTCGCTGGTAGACCGGGACACACGCCCAGGACCTGGCTGCACCCGGGTGCCTACGCTGGAATCCTCTGGAGATGTGCAGCCCAGGCATGGGGCAGGTGGCAAGGGTGACGGGGTGTCCACAGGGCCTTCAGGGAATGGGGGGCTCGAATCCAGCTCGGTGGCGCCCTCAGACACCAGGAGGCTTGTGCTGTCATCCAGTGCTGTAAGAGAGGGGACATGGTGTTAAGGTGGGCAACCACACGGGACACCCTGAGGCAAGACAGCACTGGCCCTTCAAACCCCAAAACTACATAACTCTGAAATCTTGGTGATATGGAAACACTAAACACGGTCGACAAACACTGCTCTACGGTGTTGAAATTCGGGGGTACCAGATGCCCTCTCAATAGTCATTCCAGAAAGGGCATGGGCAGAGGGACTTGAACCCTTCACATCCCACAAGACACTAAAAGCCAGAATTCAGAGGCTCTGGTGACAAGGATACTTGATGAGCAGAGACCCTTGCAGGGAAAGCAGAAGCTCTGAGAGACATCGAGGCGTCCCAGCCAAGTCCGGGGGCCTGAGAATCTGCCGTCCATGCAGGGGTGCCACCTGGGGCCTGAAGTACAGCCAGGCAGGGGGACAAACCCAGCCTGCACGATGCCTGCCTTTGCTCTCAATGTGTGGGTGCCCAGCCAGCAGTGTCGAGCCCACCAGGGGAGGTGTCATAAATGCAGGCTCTCAGGCAGATCCCAGACCCATGGAATCAGAGACTCTGGAGGTGAGCCCCACCATTGGGGTTTGAGCAAGCCCTCCGAGATTCCAATGCCCACTCATCTCTGAGAACTGCTGCTCTGGACCAGGGATGCTGGTCACATCAGGGCTCCTGCTGGAGGTAGGCTCCAAGGCAGGGAGGTCCAGAGGGGCTAGATCAAAGTCAGGCTTTTTGTTTTTGAGATGAGGTCTTGCTCTGTCACCCAGGCTGGAGTGCAGTGGTGCACTCATAGTTCACTGCAGTCTCAAACTCCTGGGCTCAAGCGATCCTCCCACCTCAGCTTCCTGAGTAGCCGGGACAACAGGTATACGCCATCATGCCGAGCTAATTTTGAACGTTTTTTGTAGAAATAGGGTCTTGCTATATTGCCCAGGCTGGTCTTGAACTCCTGGCCTCAAGCGATTCTTCTGCCTTGACCTCCCAAAGTGCTGACATTATAAGTATGAGGCGCCCTGCCTGGCCTTGGAGTCATTTTCAACATGACCTCCAGGAGCCTGCATGCACAAGAAGCGCTGCTCCCTATCCTCTTCTCGTCACCAGACACCTCAGAGCTCCCTCTTGAGCTGGCGCAGATACTGCAAGGCGAGTCGCCCATGCGGGGTTTACAACAGCCTGAATTCCAGGTGGGAGGTCATGGGGTCTGTTCCCACCATCACTTTCTGTGTGCGCTGACCAGGAGCCTAGGGTGGCCTTTCTGTTTCCACACGCTCCACAATCACCTTGTATCTGTGAGCCTGACCCTGGCTGAGGGTGTTCAAGTCATCTCCCATTTAATCCTCCCTGCCCGCCTGTAAGGCAGCCCGGATCACCCCTGTTCCACAGCTGAGGAAATGGCTTAGAGAAGGAAGGGAAGATGGTCACATGGCCACTGAGTGGTGAAGCTGGTTGGGAGATTCTAGAGTCCTCTTGCTTAATCACCCTCCAGCCTACAGCTGCCCTTCTCAAAAAATGGTTTGGGACAATTAATGGGCCATTCGGAAAAACAGAAAAAGATGAGCAGCAAGTACTTTGCACACCATAAAAAAATTCTTCAGGGAGATTAATCCTTATCTTTTTAAGGATACCATAAAAATAGTAGAAAACACACAGGAATAAATCTATAACCATGGAGCAGAGAAAGACTGTAAACATAATAGAGACCACACAGAAAAAGTGTGACAATTCTTTTTTTTGAGCTGGAATCTCACTCCGTCGCCCAGGCTGGAGTACATTGACACACTCACGGCCACCCCAGCATGGACCTGAGGCTCCAGTAATCCTTCTGCCTCAGCCTTCCAAGTAACTGGAACTACAGGTACGTGCTACCACACCCGGCTCATTTTTGATTTATTGTAGGGATGAGTTCTCATCAAGTTGCTCGGGTTGGTCTCAAACCCGCAGGCTCAGGCAACTCACTTGCCTCGGCCTCCCAAAGTGCTGGGATTACAGGCTGAGCCGCCGAGCCCAATAAATTTGACGACAAAAATTTGTAAGTTTATGCATGGCAAAAGGCATCATCCACAGGGGAAAAATAAAGCAGAGACAGAGAAAACATCCCTTCAGTAACAGGAAAAGTGGTGCCCTCACACACCCATGCTAATGCATGAGTTATATTGCTCTTATACATTGTCCCATGTCTTTACCAAATGTTTTCTCCTTATAAATCTACAAAAAAGAAATTCCCCAAAACAAAAACATGGCAAGAGAAAATACGAACCAAAACTGGACCTTCAAATGGACAATAAACATGTAAAAAAGGTGCTCAAACTCCATCATCTTTGTGTGCGTGTGTGTGTGCGTGTGTGTGTATGCACACGTGTGTCTGTTGCTTACCTACAAGGACAATAAAGATCATTAGGAGTGGCAATGTCATGGGGCCTCAGACACTGTTGTGGCATATAAACCAGTAATCTACCTTTCCAGAAGGCAAGTCAGTCATTATACCAAACATACATGCCCTGGACTCAGCAATTTCACTTCCAGAAATTTATTCCGAGCACATAATGGAGCAAGTTCTCACAGATGAATGTGTAATGTAGAAAAGAAAACAGCCACCTATCACATCATAGCACTTCAAACCTAGAAACTGTCATGGTTAACTCCATCCAAACGTTATCAGAGTCACTCCCTAGAGTATTACACAGTAGTTTATTAAAATCATTTTGAATAACATCCACCCATGCAAATTCCTTTTGATCCCTATTATCTTAACATCAGTGCCAATCCAATGATCACATTTCTCAGGGAAATGGAGTCACGGACAACTCATGTGACTTGAAGAATATGCAAGGTTAATTTAGAAACTTGAAAGTTAGGACAGCATTATAGGAAAAGCTCACATCTGGTAGTTCTCACTTTGTGCACCCTCACCCCGAGTTGTATTGTGTGCCTGTATTTCACAGCAGTCATGATCCTAGCGCTCTTCCCATTTTTCACCTAAAACATCGCAAGCATTTCTCTTAATTAACATATAACAATGCATGTAGCATTCGCAAAATGTTTTTTCTGAATCTTATTCATGAACTTTATCATTCCCTTGAGTTGTCACTGTCACAGAAAATGCAGCACGAGTAGAAAGTTTTCCTTAGGGTGGGTCCAGAAGGGAGCTCTCCACATCTAACAGCATAAACATTTTTGGCAAAGGATTTTGAATAAAGAACCATAAAAATGGCTGATCTCCAAGCTGCCAGTTGGGATGATGGATAGAGGCTTCCCTGTGGCCTTGCCAGCATTCATGTCCTTATTGCTGTTTTATTATTTTAATAGATAAAAAACAAACCAGAATCTATCAAAAAAAAATTCTAGCTAAGAAGTGAATTCTGGGCTGGGCACGGTGGCTCAAGCCTGTAATCCCAGCGCTTTGTGGCACTGAGGCGAGAGGATCGCCTGAGCCCAGGCGTTTGAGGCCAGCCTGGGTAACTTGGTGAGACCTCGTCTCTAAAAAAAAAAAAAAAAATTAGCCGAGCATAGTAGTGTGCACCTATAGTTCCGGCTACTTGGAAGGCTGAGGTGGAAGGATCACCTGAGCCCAGCAGGTTGACGCTGGGGTGTCCGGAGCAGATGGACAGAGTGAGACTCTAACTAACTCCAAAAAAAAAAGAAAAAGTGAGTTATGCAAGGTTACAGGATACAAGATTAGCTCACATATACTAACAATGAACATACAGAAACAACACACAATTCCATTGACAACTACTGTGAAGAATGAAATACTTAAATATACACTTTGCAAAACATGTGTAGGATCTGTATACTGCAAATTAAAAACAGGGGTGAAAGAAATCAAAGAGAATTCCAATGTATGAAAAGACAGAGTAGTCTGCATATTTAAAGGGTCAAATAGAAAAGATGTCAATTCTCTCCCAACTGCTCTAATAGGTTGCAATTCTTATCAAAATCTCAGCAAGGACTTTAAACACAGAGAAAAACTCATTCTAAAATGTATATGGAGGTAGGGCATGGTGGCTCTCTCCTGCAATCCCAGTAGGAGGCCAAGGTGCAAGGACGGCTTGAGGCCAGGAGTTTGAGGCTGTAGTGTGCTATGATTGCACCACTGCTCTCCATCCTGGCCAACACCGGTCTCTAAAAAACAATTTTTTAAAAATAAACAAATGAAATGCATATGAAAAAACACAGTCCTAGAATAGCACAAAGAAGCTTGACAAAGAAGAATAAAGTAGAAGGAATCACTCTTCTGATGATAAGGCTTATTTTGGAGCTCCAGTCATCAAGATAGTGTGGTGTTGGCAGAGAGGCAGACACAGAGCAGTGGAACAGAACAGAGAACCCAGAAGTGGACCCATGTAGTGATTCCCAACTGACTTTTGACAAAGGTAAAGAATTGACAAATGTTCTGGAACAACTGGACACGCTTGGGCACAAAAAAGAACCTCAACCTCACTCCCACGCAGCCATTAACTGGCGAACGCATCTTTTCTACAGTTCAATCTGCTTGATGTTTCATCCTGCGAGCCTCTGTCAGTGCTTCTCAGGAGATTCCTGACCCCCTCAGGGGCTGGGCACCCCGGCAGGAGTCTGGGTGTGGGAAGGAACCCTGCATCTCTGGGCAGCAACAGACTTAACTACCTGGGTCCCAGCAGTGAGGAGGGTCCGGTCCTGCTGAATATCTGATGAGGAGCACCCCAGACTGCTCCGTCCATGTCCACCTGCCCCCAGGCGGCAAACAGAATGGGGGTCCGATAGCCGCCAGGCTGCTCCACCTTTCCAGCCATGACTTCCTCAAGAACATGTGATTTGTGGGAGTCATGTGGCTGGAATAGGCGGACTGGGCTGCAGGCCCCCTCAGCCCAGACCCCAGAATGCAGTGGGGGTGGCTGCTCTGTGATGGGGGACTGGGACACACCATACCCTGGAGTGGCCCCTGGAAGGTCATCGGAAACCACCTCTGTGACAGCTTGTGGCAGCTCCTTGGTGTGACTAGAGGGAGGATGAGATCATGTCCGAATCCCACAACCACAGAGACCTGGGGATCTTGCAATTCCAAGGCAGTGCCCCCCAAGGATGGCCCCTTCCCATTTCTCTTAGATTTTAACAAAGTGTTCAGGGAGAAGACAGCGAGCCCTGGGACACTACTCATGGTCCTTTGCAAGATCTCCTGAGTATCTGACTCTGGTCTCCAAAAAACCAGCCCACATAAGCCTGCTTGGAGACCCCAAGAAGGTGGCTCTCATGCCTGCCCAGCCCCCGCACACTGGCTCCCTCAGCTGGGAAGGGTCATCTGCTTCCCTGACACCTCGGACCACCTCCTCCACCCCTATCTCTGAGGCTCCCACTCTCTGTGTTTGTCCACATCCTTCAGTGTGTGTTTGACACTTGTCCTTCAATGCCCTTAAAGACACAATGTCCAGCCTTTGCCCCCTTCCAGCCTCCCAGCCTAACCACCTCCCTCTGAAGGAGGCCCTGAGAGGACATTAGCCTGGTATGTCCAACTTTTGCTCTGGAAGAGGTGGCCCCGACTGAGTAGTGCTTTTCTTCAAATCCACACGGGGGGTAGAGGGACAAAGCCCCTCACATTTGAGAAAGCATGAGGTCTCCCTGGCATAATGACTTACTGGGTAGAGACAAGAGAAGAAATGTGGAGAATGTAAATAGTACTTAACAGGAAAGGTTATGGAAAACTCCTCCACCCCTTTAAAGAATAAGAAATGGAGGGAGGTGAGTTGGAAGAGGAAGAGAAGAAAACAGGAGGAGACATTCTTGAAAGATACAAGCTGCTCTCTTCAAATACTGAAAGAGGTGAGCTTACCTGGTATGCTGAAGCCAGCAGTGGCATTTGGGTCCCCGGAGCTGGACTCGGTCGCCTGCTGATCTACACTTGCAGCCTACAGGAAGACACACAAAGCATCAAGGTGGGTCATCAGCTTGTAATGCCAGCGGACTTGAAAGCTGGTCTCCCCATATCAAGCACCGAGAGACGTGTGCTTACCTTTTCACCTTTGGCTCCTGAGTGTGAGGGCCCAAGCCACCCTTGCCAAGGCCAGAGCCCATTTCTCAGACTTTTGGCAAACCAGGCACCTGCCAGGGCCACAAGGCCACTCGGAGCCCACATACCTTCCACATATGGACAGTGTTTGGGACCTACAAAGGCCACGCGGGATCCTCTGGAGTCACGCAGGACTCAGGACAACCCTGTGCTCCGACTTCTCACCTGCCTGTCTCAACTACTCTCTCCTCTTGGCGCCTACTCCAGGAAGCATAAGACCATGGGGGGCAAATGGCCATGGGACTGATGATGCCTTGCACCACATGCTCTGGTCAGAGTGGCCATTTAATACAGAGCCACGGACTGAGTGAGCTCCTGAACTCCCCTAGAGCTGACATGGGCTCGCTCTTCCCTTTCAACTCTTGCAGAGAGGAGTGACAGGTGACTTGGGTCCACACAGAGTGATGTGCCAGTTGGAATGTGGGCCTCATAGCTGCGAGGACCTCGGTCGATGCCGCCTGTCCCGGTGGAGAGGGTAGAGATGGAGTTTGCCTCGAGCTGCACAGTCATGGAGCTTTTGCCGCTTTCTGCTTGGACGGACTCCTGGTCTGCCCGCAGAGGCCTCAGAAAATGAGGAGAAAGGCCCACCTTCGCTCAGCTGGTCTTGTGTGCACCACAGCCTCACCATCCCAGCGTTGGGCCGCCTGACCCTGCATAGGCCCTGTGCTTGGATGCAAGGAGCACTGCGCATATGTGGCCTGGCAGTACCACGCGCCCCTACGCTAGCTCAGAAAATGATTCCTGAATCTTGGGTTATTTCAGAATGGCTTTGGGGCCATGCTTGCCAGTAACGAGCTTAGGAGGAAGCTGGGAAGGTGAGGCAGGCCCCTGCGGCTCGGTCCAATTCCAGCTCAGGTAATTACATTGCTGCCACCCTGGCCTCCCGCCACTTCAATCAGATGGCTGGAAGCCTTCATCTCACCTCTTTCAACCAGGCCAGCGCCAGGGCAGGTGCTGGGGCTGCAGCCTCTGCACTGACACAAAGGGCGTGAGCAGCTCCCAAGGCAGGGGGCTTCTGAGGGAAAGAGAAGACCCAGAGCTGCCTAACTGCTTCCTTTGATCCCACTTAGATGCTCCGGAACAATACCTTACACACTATTTCTTCTTAGCGCTCTGTTCTGCTGGGGAGGGAGCCGGGTGAGGGAGAATTCCCACCACCATCGGCACTCGCCGCCTTTCCCACTGAAATCCTTGTGTGCCAAGAATCAGCTTCAGAAATCTCTGTCAAGAAGCTTCTCCTAAATCACAAGACAAGAATAACGCCCCAAAGCTTTGTTCACCCCACATCGCTCTTCCTATATCCAACCCTCTACGGGACTTTCTTCTTTCTGGGTAGGGGTGGGCATTAACTTAGAATCCTGCTACCTAGGAGAAGTTTCTGGTAATGAAGAAATAGAAACAAAACAAGAGAAATAAAATATACAGTGGGACAAGGTCGGGAGGAAATTGGATTCATTCCTATTTTGCGGAAGCATCACTCACTTCCCTCTGGCTCCTGGTCACATTCAGTTTTGAGAGGAGATAACTCCCAGAAGGGCATCTATCACTGCTGGCAGGCAGGGTATCAATGGTTTAATTTCAATGTGGCCTTCCCTAGTGTCAAAAGCCACTTGGCCACACTAAAGCTGTGGGGAAAATCTTTGTTCTGTGCACACAGCATTTTCGAAGAACTATAAAGACAGTAGAAAAAGGTGGAGAAGAAACATATCTGTGGCATAGAATTTAAGCTTGGATGTGAATTCAGCCATCAAGCTCACAAACACAGCACCTTGCAGGAGGAGAGGGGCAAGAGGGCTGTTGAGAGGAGGCTGCAGGGTCACTTCACCTGAGACTTGCTGGTTTGCAGACCTTCTGATCAGCCATCACCATGGAGAAATCAACTGGCGTTCCATCCGTAAGCCAACTTTTCCTTCCTCTTTCCTTCTCTTAGGAAGCTCTGTGGCTAAGTCACCCTGCGTGGAAATTCTGCCCTATTTCCGGAATAAGTGTCCCCCTCCTGGGTGAGATCAACCATCTAGGACCAGATTTATGAAGAGCTGTCCTTTGGGGGCAATGACCACAATCACGGAAAATGTGAATTAAGATGTTAGCCTAGCGGTGTGAGGCAATCTTTGACAATGCTTCCTTGATAGACTTTAACATGTACAAGTCAATTCATTTGAACATATAAATAACTGCTTTTAGGACTTGGGGCTGGTCGTACTCTGCCTCTCCATTTCCACTCTCACAACTCCTGGCGTCACACACAGGTTTCCTTCTGCCCAGCATACTGCCAAATTCAAATTCCCAAAGCACCCCTGGGTCACGTCCACCCAAATGCAAAACTCGTCACAGGCACTTCTCTGGGTCGTAAAGTGTGCACCCAAATATTTCAGGGACTCACACTAGGCTCCTGGCCATCCCACCTCAGAGTCTCTGCCCACATGGTGCCCTCCCTTCCTTCACATGTACTCTGACCCTGCTGCCCAGACTGCCAAACCCGATTCTCCCTCTGAAGCCCCATAGAAGTTTGTCCTGCTCCTGCCAGCTCGCTGGACTGTCAGCGCCATGTGAAGGGGATTCTATCCAGTTCATGGTTCCATATCCCATAGAGTGTCGCATTCATCAGTGGTCCCTGGAACATATGCTGGTCGCCCAAACAAAAACTCAAAACCGGTAAGTTCTCAATCACTTTCCTGCTGTCGAAGAAATTCACCCCTTGGAACTTGCTGAAGAGTGCAGTCTCACACGGGAAAGTGAATGGCATTGCATCCTGAGAGCGGGATCGCTGCAGGCGAGTGGGTCACAGTGGACAGCCTCAGTCAGGGCTGCCTTGCCTGCTGCATGAGAATATCATCCCCACGAGAGGCCTTCTCCCTCCTTTCTTTATCCACACAAATGCTGAAGGCAATTTATGTGCCTTTGTCCTAACAAGGGACACAATTAACCTCCTCCTCCCCAGGGAGACAGTCATGCTACCAGGTGGGACCGGCAGCCCTGGGGAGGGGGCAGCTGGCAGGCACAGCCGTCCCTCTGTGGACTAATGGGTTTCATTGACTTCCAGACCCCCAGACATGTTGGTGGAATTGAAAAGCGCTCCAGATCACGGGGTCAAGAGAATCAGCCGGAGGGCTGCCGCGGCCCCTTCATCACCAGAGGCAGCCAAGCTCCCAAGCAGCGGCCTGGCAGATGCGACAGGATGTTCCTGCAATCACTGAGCTGGGGGCTTCTGAGCCAGCACCAGCTAACCCAAGACCCGTCTTTCCCGTCTTTCACCTTAAGGGTCTTCTCACCAAAATTCTGTGAACAAGATCTCAACTTAGAGAAGGGCCAAGAGTTTTGGAAATGGTATCGGTCTTAGAGCCAGTATTATCATCCTCCATAGCTTCTATTCTTCAGAGAAAAGAGTAAAATGATACAACACGAATCAATATCCTTCTAGTGTGCAGCTGTGTGGGGGGGCATCGAATGTCACACTCAGGTCCAGGAGCGACTTCCAAGATTCAGGAGCTTTGAAAAGCTGGGGGAAGCGGGGGTGGGGGTGGTCGCAACACAAAGCTTACCTGGTCCTAAACCAGGGGAAGTGAGGACCAGCTGGAGCTCCAAACTTCACCCAAACTTCACACAGATTATTTAGGTGGCTAATCCTGACTCATACTCCACGTCTGTATAACAAAATAAAGTTGAAAAAAGAAAAGCCAAGCCAGGGCCAGGCTCCACGTACAGGGGTTGTCATCGGGAGGCAAAGGGCTCCGAGGGGAAAGTGCACAAGGACTCAAGAATCGGTCACTCAGCTGCCTCTTCTAGAAACAGGAGGAAGAGCCCACAAAAGGGAGGGTGGGGCCCAGGGTCGGGCCCCAGCAGGAGGTGGAATTGTGATGGCAGCAGGCAGGGTCCCTGTGCAGAGGGTGGAGGTGGCAGGGTTGGCCTCCTCTCCAAGGTATACATGGAGAATCACACACTCCTGCCGACTGTGGAGGTTCCCGGGGCCCCCCGTGGCCCTGCCTGGTGCTCCAGCTGGGCACAGGGTGGGGCTGCCCATTGGCACGCCTGCTCAGCCTCCTTCTCCTGCCTTCTCCGGAATTTTCCTCATCAAGAGCTCTGTCCTGGGCCAGCTGCCCAGCCTTCTGGGTCCTTCCATATCTGCCAAGTGACATACCCGAGGCACCGTACCCACACTCCCCTCTGACTCTCATTCTGCCTTCTCTCCTCTTTACCAAGCAAGCATCCTGCAAGAGTGGTCCACACCTGTTCTCAAAGTGCATCCCTGGGGCAGCAGCAGCATCAGGAGCAGGACCCTGCTAGGAATGCAAGTCCTTACCCCTACCCACACCACCATAAACGACTGACTTGGGAACCCAGGGGGTGAGCCCAGGCATCAGGATTTGATTGACAAGTTCTCCAGGAGACTGAGGTGCCCATTGGAGTCTAAACATTACAGCCACACCTGTGCCCACCTCCTCATGACCCACCCACTCCTCTACCCTGTGTCATCTGGCTCCTGCTCCTCCATTCTGTCAAAGCTGCCCTCCACAGTGAGCCCGGTGGTCCTGGGACCCAGTTCATCACAGCCTCTGGGCCACCCTGGGCATATCACTTTCTTCCCTAACTGCTGGTTTCACAAATCCAAGCTTTCCAGAGCCCCAGTGCCCTGCAGTCTATCGTGTGGGTGGGTGTCCTGCCTCTACCACCTGCCATGGTGTCATGTTTTGGGGCTCCTCCTCTCCTTGGGCATCCCACCCCCTCCCATTTCCCAGGCTCAGGTGACCATCTCTGCAGCTAACTCTGATCTGAGTTTCTGGACTGCAGATCCTGTCATCCAGTGGACATGCACTGAGAATCCCACCAACCACACCCAGCCAGCCACCCTATCCCTACACACTCATCTAAGAACCCTCCTCCCGTTTGGTGAATTCACTGTGCCCTCCTTCCCTCCCTCCCTCCCTCCCTCTGAGCTTCTGCACAGAGGCTAGGAGCATCCTGGCCCCTCCTCCTTAGACCTTGCCCGCCCAATGCCCACCCACAGTCTGAGCTCTTGGATTTCGCCCGTACCCCTAAATACGAGCCTGGTACCCCTGACAAGTACCCCACAGTGCACTGGGGTCCCCTCAGAGAGATAATGATGACTATTATCACAGCAAACCATTTCCACTGATAACACGGATTTGAATTACATTTATCGTACACAGAAAAATAAACCACATCAGGAAGGCTTGTTTTATAAAAACAACCAGGACCATTCTCCCACTGCAAGTTTAGGAATGAGACTCAGGGCCTGGCTCTGCCTTCTTCCTAAAGGATTCCACCCTCCCTGGCAGTTCCCACACACCTGTTTCTACTGCGGACAGAAGAAAGGTTCAGAGGAGCCCCAGGGGCTGCCCTAACGCTCAGGGCATTTCAGGCGGGAGCAGGTGGAGCACTGTCTGCTGTGCGAGGACGGTCTGGGGGCTCACGGACTGGCCGGACGCTGAGCTGGCCCACTCCAGAGGAGAGTCCCGACGCCAAATAGTTCCCCTACCATGTGCTGAGTCTAACAGCATCTTAATGGGACCATGTTTCTGCTATCCTAAGACCACAAGGTAACCCATCCTTGTGGAAGCGACTGTCTCCAGAGGCTCATGAGCTCATACAGCCCACATGGAAACCGCTTCTCCACCCACAGAGGTTCCTCAGGGTCAGCACCTCCTTGGTCAGTGCCTGGGAAAAGGACCAGCACCGCTACCTGGCTTCTGTGCACACGGGATTTCAGGGTCTCCAAGGGGCAGGGACACACACTTGGGATGACATCAGAAGGTCTGAGACCTATGCTACAGTGGTCTTGTGGGAGTCAGCAGGAAGAGCAGGCATCTGGCCAGGCCTGATCTGATGTCCTGCGACTCTGCCTGGCCAGTGACTAGAGTAGAGATACCTGTCGGGGGCTCCAGGGCTGCTGAGAAGCCCAAAGCATGTGCAGTTCGGAATGTGCTTGGATGCTCCCAGCTGTATTATTGTCCACTCTCCTCTGCTGGGTGCTTGGGGCCCAGAATTGGCCTCAGCCCCACCCCTGCACCCCTCCCTGGCCTATCTCCTCAGCTCCCCTGTGCCTGCCCTCTGCTCCTACAGACTCCTGTGCTCCCCACCCCTGTTCTCAAAGTGCATCCGGGGCAGCAGCAGCATCAGGAGCGGGACCCTGCTAGGAATGCAAGTCCGTACCCCTACCCACACCACCATAAACGACTGACTTGGGAACCCAAGGGGTGGGCCCAGGCATCACCAGGCATCATTACTGAGTGTGGCATGATGTCAGTCAGGGCAGAGAGACGGGGACACCTGGAAGGGTCAGTGGCACCTGAGTATAGGAACCAGAGGTGGTTGGGAAGTCTCCATTCAGCACCCTGTAACGATCGGAGTTACTTGGGACATCTTGTGTGGCTTGTGTCTAATCTTGTGTGGCTTGTGTCTGTGCGCCTTGAGTCACCTCACACATTGCTGCCCACAGGACTTCCCAATCACCTCTGGTTCCTATGCTCAGGTGCCATTGACCTTTCCAGGTATCCCTGTCTCTCTGCCCTGACTGGCATCATGCCACACTCAGTAATGACAGCAATGACAATGATGGCAATGATGAAAACCCCAAAGGGCAACTGACTTTTGCTGAATTCAGTACTTACTGTGTTGGCTTCATTGCAGACAACATCCCATTTCATCCCATGATCCCCATTTTACAGATGAGGAAACCAAGTCTTCACACACCACATACTCCTGGTACTTGTGATGTGTCAGGCTCTGTGCGGTTGCAGGAGGGCCTGGCAGGGTAGCTCAGAGAAGGTCCAGAACTCCTGACAGCGGAGGCACGTCCCAGGCCTGTGGCCTCCAGGCCTCTGACAGGACCAGGGACCCAGAACAGCTTTGTTACCTCCCCAGGAGATGATGAGAGCAGCGTGGAGTGGAGGCAGGTCAGGGTCCCCTGGGTATTCAGTCTGTGGACGCAGCCCTGCTCCTGGGGGCTCTGCCCACGGGTCAATGATATCCCGGTTCCCTCTGTACCACATCCCCAGACACACCAACCAGCATTAAGACACATCTGAGCTGGGCTCGGTGGCTCAGCCTGTAATCCTGCGCTTTGGGAGGCCGAGGTGAGTGGATTGCCTGAGTCCGCAGGTTCGAGACCCGCCTGGG